GTTATATTTTTAAAAAACTATCACAATTTAAGTTCAAAAATATAATGAAAAAAAAAAGGATCAACCCACAAAAGAAATACACTGGAATGAATTTGAGTAAAATGTGGAGGACCTAGGTTTAAAAACAAAATAAAAGCAAGCAACGCATATGGAGAGAAACCCACGACTTGACTGGACAGGAATATATATAGTAGATATGGAAAATAACAGGTTTCTACAAACAAGAGCTCATCAAATATCAAATAATTTAAAAATTAGTTTTGCCTGGGCATGGTGCTACACACCTGCAGTCTCATCACCCAGGAAGCTGAGGCAGGGGGATTACCATGAATTAGAGGCCGGCCTGCACTAGCTACATAGTGAGTTCAAGGTCAGCCTGAACTTCACGGCCAGACCCTGTCTCAGAAACAAATTCTGGACAAGAGGCAACCTTTCTTTTCTTTTTTTTCAGACACTGGGACTCACTATGTAAGTTCAGGCTGGCCTTGAACTCATGGCAATCCTCCTGCCTCAGCCTCCAGACAGCTGGGATTAGAGGTGCTTGCTGCAGCAAGAGGGGACAGTTATAGAAGGGAAAACACGAAGTCCCAATGAACAGGTTTGTGTGTGGTATAGTCTCAAGTGATAAGCAAGTGTAAGCACTGATACATTGTTACTGCGGTAACAAGTCTACAGGCAGCATGAGGCTTCACTCAGCAAGAGGCTAAGCGCTGACAAATGTGTAAAATGTGTTCCTACAATGACAGTGTCCTACAGAATAAGCATTTTGCCACCCTAAAAACCCCACAGCCCACCTATTCCTCTGTTCTCCCGGGTCTCTGGCAACTACTGACCACACTGTCCTCAAGGTTTTGCCCTTCCCAGAATGCTATGTTGGGCCAGGGATATAGCTCAGCGGCATAAGCACCTGCCTGGCAAGCACAAGGTCCTGAGTTCAAATTGCGGTACCAAAAAAAAAAAAAAAATTCAGAATACTATGTTGTGAGAAACCTATAATACCAAGCCCTTCAGATGGCTTTTGTTTAACATTATGTATTAATTTTTCCCTTCTTTTTTGGTGCTGGGGATTGAACCCAGGGCCTAGAGTGTGCTAGGCAAGTGGTCCATCCTGGAGCTATAACCCTCAACCTCCTCTGGGTCTTGTTATGGCTTGCTATCCCATTTCTTTTAATCTTTCTATCATATGACTTTTTTTTTTTTTTTTTTGTCTTTTTGAGACAGGGTTTCGCTATGCAGTTCAGGCTGGCCTTGAGCTCACTTTGTAGCCCAGGCTGGTCTCGAACTTACAAGGATCCTTCTGCCTCAGCCTTCCAAGCGCTGGGATTACAGGCGTGCGCCATCACGCCCAGTATGACTTGCTGTTTTTAAAAGCCCTTCATTTACAAAGGGGGAAGCGATCCTGCAGAGAGAGGAGGTACAGTGCTGGTGCTGAACATTCTGGCAGGCAGGGAAAACGGGGCGGGGCGGGGCGGGGCGTCCCGGGGACCGGAGGGCTGCAGCAGGAGGAGGGACAGTAGCCAAGGCCAAGAGAGCACCAGCTGCAGGTCCCTGAGACAGGCATGACAGGTGCAGGGTGCTGAAACCGGAGGAACTTCCCGCCCGGCTTGTCGGGATTTTGTGCCACCCCTTCCTGGCAGCTGCCTGTGCAGCATTGCTTCTCAGAAGCCAGGAGCTCAGTGCCCGGGCATGGAGCACATCCCTGGCCAAACTGGCTGGGCGGGGTTACTGCGGGTGCCAGGGCTGATGCCCCAGGGCTGACTGCCCATCCCATTAGACATCTCTGTGTCCCCAGGGAGCCCCTGGCCTCCGCCGCAGCCATCACCCGGGCACGCCAACAGGTGGGTGCCTTTCAGCCTCTGCATTCGCTCGGCGGCCTCAGGCTTTAGTGGTTCAAAGGGTCAGGAAACACTCCTTGACCCTAAAGCTGCCTCCCCAGACATGCTGGGTGGCAATCCTCCTGCTCGAGACGACTCTCCTGCCTCAGCCTCTTGAATACGTGGATTACAGGCATGTACCACACCCAGGGGCCCTTCATTCTGGACTCTAGCCACCTACATGTGCAGAACCCCAGAGCCCCCAAGGGTGGCCCTGGGAGGACAAAGCAGGCCATGGCTCCTTCTCAGGGCGGATGCTGCACCCTGTGATCCTTTGAGGCCTTCACTTCTCTGGGGTCCGTTCCTACCAGCTGGTACTTGAGGTTCCCCCACTGTTCCTGCGTGACCTGCACCTGCCAAGGTCATGTGGGTGGGGGTCCCCCCCGGCCCCACACATAGCCTTTGTGACCAGGGTCCACAGAAGTGTCCCTGATGATGGGAGGGGTCACCTTCACTCTGTGGCAGACTGGGCTCACCCAGCGGCCAGAGCTGGACCCAACAGCACCTTCCAGCTCAGTGTGACTCGGGGCAGTGGGGTGACTGGCACAGCACTGTCCCCACTGGAACAGAGCCGTTGCCTGTCAGCTGTCATCACGGCACCAGCACCTACTGCAAGGGTCTGACTGTTTCCTGTTTCAGGGCCGAGGCCGAGCCTGGGGCCTTGTGCACGATAGGTAAGTGCTCTACTACTGCGCTGCTGGAGAGCTGCAGGGTAAAGCTTTTAATTCTGAGGGTGTGACTTACGACCTACAGATCGTACACGTCTCCTATGCCAACCCCTCGGGTCTGACTGTCCCGCTCCCCCCATGTGGCGCACGGCTAGACCTAAGCCTCGGCTTTATTCAGACTCCCAGGGACGCTGCTGGAGGCTCCTCTGGTCCCTGAATGCAGTCACCTGTGACAGGCACGAGGTCTCTCCTGTCTTCCTGGTGCGGAGGCACGTGGGCAGCACCAGTTAGGGGACCCAGGGATGCAGAGGACCCGCTTCGGCGTGGGCTTCTACGACTGTGGGTCTGAGCAGGGCCCGAGTGGGCCTCGCTCCTCTGCTGACCCTGACCGCCGGTTCAGGTGGTGCCTGGCAGTTCTTCCGCTGTGACACTGCCATCTTCTTTTCCACACTCACTCACTGGTCACCAAGCCACACGTGTGGACACAAATGAGAACCACTGTTATAATTAAGTACTATTTGAGGGGAGATGCTTGAGGCTTTGAAAATACCTGATTTCTCCTTAAAAATTTCTCTTCTTGATTGAGGCAGGGTCTTGCTATACAGCCCAGGCCATTCTCAAGCTCATAGCAATCCTGCCTCAGCCTCCCAAATGCTGGGATGACAGGTGTGCACCATCACACCAGCTCTCCTTGAAGTTTTGCTGCTTTCAGCATTCGTCAGTCTTGCCTGTGACTCTGGTTAACGGGATGTTCGAATGGTGATTCTATGCTATTTGCTGTACTCCCTCTAGATTATTTGGAATTCTGGGGGGAATGGCTATCCCTTGTTCTTCATGTATTTATTTACTCAATAATTACATTAGTATGGATTCATGGATACTTATTGTCATTATTTTGTGCTCCAACTGTTTTGGTGTTGGCTACTGGGAACTCTAAGCAAGGTACTATGTCTTCTCTTTGTGGCATAAGGCAGATATGAACCCAGGACCTCTGCGATGACCCACATACCCAGGCTTTTTAAAATTGAGTCTCACTAAATTGCCAAGTTGCCCAGGTTGGACTTGAACTTGTGATCCTCCTGTCTTACCGTCTCAAGCACCTGTGATTACAGGTATGTGCCTCCAAGCCTTGTTTTTGGACTTTTGAGACAGGGTCTAACTGTAGCCCAAGCCAGTCTAACTTACTATGCAGCCCAGGCTGGCCTTAAACCCATGATCCTCCTGTCTCAGCCTCCTGAGTGCTGCTAATACAGGTGTGAGCCACCACAGTGGCTCAGGTTTCCTCTCTCCTAATTATCTCATGCAGTTTTTGTTGGAAGTTCATTTGACCCTTGTCTTTAGGTGACCTTCTGCCATCACATATTCTGCTCAGATGGGGTTATGGCCAAGCTAGAAGAGTCAACGTGGCCCAGGCTGACACACGACCGTTGGGCCTTAACACTCCTTTTCAGAAGATGGTGAGAATCTCACAATGGTTTGCAGCTTGCTAAGGGGAAAGAGTTGCTTTCCTGGTGGTCTGGAAGCGCCCTGTGCAGACAGCGTGGCGGATGAGGACTGTAGCAATCACCAAGTCTTGTCTCCCGCTCCACCCCACTGTTTTGTTTTGAGACAAGGTGTCACTATGTGGTCCACACTGGCCTTGCCAGGATGGCCTCCAACTCACAGCGATCCTCTTGTCTCAGTCTTCAGAGTGCTGGGATTACAGGCATGTACTACCATACCCTGCTAGGTCTGAAATGCTGATCCTCCTGCTTCAGCCTCCCAGAATGCTGGAGTCACAGGTGAGGGCTACACAGATTAGATTGTAAGTGCCCTTCCGAAAGGCTTGTTTCTACCCCGTGGGGCTGTCTGTGGATATCTTCAGTGGGTGTGGCCTGGTGGAAGTTAAGGTCATGGTAAGCGGCCCCTTGAAGCAGACACTGGGACCCCAGCTCTTCCTCTTGGTTCCCTTTGCTCGCTGGTGCCAGGAGTTAAGCAGAAGGCTCCATCACACACCTTTCTCTCACATGCCACCTTACAGAGGCTCAAGACACAGGGCCAACTGTCCTCGACCTGGACCTCCTGAGACAAACCTTTCCTCTTTCTACTTCCCCAGGAATTTGTGACAGTAGCAAGAAGCACCAGGGCTCGTGTCCCTTGCTATCTCTGGTGGGTGCTGGCCATTAGCTGGCCTCAGCAAAGCTACTTAATGTAAGCAATCCAAGCTGAGGCCAGGAGGCTTTTCACCTCAAATCCTTTGAACTTGCTTCTATCCCAATATTCTAACCACAGGTAAGTTGAACTAATGACAATATTTTGATATCTATCTGACTTATAGTGATGATTAATGCCAATTTGAAAATAGTTTCTAAGAAATCCTCGCCCATGTACTCTACAGCACCGTGTGAATTAACTCAGGTCCTCTGCCGTGCACTGGGCCAGACCCCGCCCTGCCCCACGAGCTGACACGGCTGCAGCCCACACTTGCTATTTTTCATTTATTACTGCAGTGGACAATCGCTCGGAAAGTGCAACGCCGCATCACTCTTGCCACAGCCCCGCTCCACCCCCACTGTCCAACCCTTGGAAATTCATTCTCAGAGCACCACGGACCACGAGCTTCTGTCTGGGTGGAAAATTACTGCCACTACCGGGGTCCTGGGAAAGGCACACCCAGAAGGGCATGGGAGGACTTGGGGGGAAAGTCAGGGAAAACCCCTCGGAGGCCGGGGAGAGCAGCGCAGCAGGCCCCGCTCTCCAGCTGGACCCGCAGCTACCAACATGCCGCTCCCGTAGGCCCTGCAGACCTTGGCTCGCCCCATCTCTAGGGCCAGTGACAGCAGCCGTGACTGTCCCACCTCTGCACATCGGAAGCTGTGGAGTCTGAATCAGCAGAGCGATGGCTCAAGCTGGTCTGAAAAGAATGCGTGGTCTGGTCTGCACCAGACTCAGGCTCACACAGCCGTGGGGCAGGACGTGCCCAACAGGCCAACCCGTGTTTCTCACAGGCGCGGGGCCAGTGTGTTTCTGACAGGAAAAACAACTGTCAAACACTGACCAGGAGGATCGGGCAACTTGAGCAGCTCTAGAAAACATCAGCGATTGAAAAATCGGAACAAATGAGACAAAAAAGGCAAACTACAGACACTGTACCTAACCACTAGGCCCTACAAAACCCTCACTCATAAATGTGCTGCACACACACACACACACACACACACACGCACGCACGCACATGCACGCACACACAACCAGTCAGGTAGATGCCCAAAGGAAGGCAAATCCAAATGTCTGCTCTCTTTGGAATTTTCCAGCAATTGGAGACCGGGGAAAGTGAAGCCCTCCTGGGGTCCGTTCAAATCCCACGGTCACCACCGCTGCTCCTGTTCCTCCTTCACAGCCAAGCGCACGCTGCAGCGCTCCTCTTCCGGAGGTCCAGTCGCCGCTGTGCCGTCTTCTCCATCCAGCCTGAGCTCCTCTGCCGTGGAAGCACCTCCCTCCAAGCCCTTGTACTCAGATTCTTTCAGGAAAAGCACCCCGAATGGCTCAGGAGCTGGGAAGCTGGCGGAGAGTGAAGCACACGCAGCACAGGACGCCTGCTACTCTCTGATCCTGCCACGCCTGGGTGCCAAGGGTGGAGACGCCCACAGACCGACCTGGGTGTATTCCAGGGACAGGCCACAACGGAAGGTCCTGTGGCTCTGCTCCCAAGCGCTACCTGGAGGCTGCTGGAGGCCACTGTTCATCATTCCCGGAAACCAGGTGCTCTTCTGACCTCTGACTCTACTTCTGGAGCCAGAGCCCCCAGCTTCTCCGCCTGAGTCCTTGAACACCTGCTGGCAGGAGCCTTTGCCGGGTCTCTGGGCACCGGCGATCAGCACACACTGCCACCGTGCACACCGGGAGACAGAGACTCAAGGTGGGGTTTTGGGGCCACCGCAGACTGGCACAACCATGTGAGTCGAGCCATCCAGCAATCCCCCTTTCTCCAGCTGTCCCAGGTGAATTCATAAACTCAGTGTTAGCAGCTGGCAAGCACCGGCTGTCCCTCCTTTTCTCGCCAAAGCTTGGCACATAGGCCCCGATCACACCGGACAGCGGCCCCCATGCTGCCCCGGGACCTGCGTGACAGCCTCACTCCACAACAGGATGGCTCCGCGCCAGCTCACCAAGGCAAACCCCTACGCTGCGTCAGGGGGACCACGTGTCCCACCGATTCCAGTTCGAAGTGCAGCAGTGCCCGAGAAGGCGGAGCTCCATGGGAGGGAAGCTGTGGCGTAAGGCAGGAGAGGACACCATGTTCTAAGCAGTCACTGCACCAGTAACACATTTTTAGGGTGGCGGCCGGGGGAAGGGAGCAGTCGGCGGCACAGCTGGAGAGGCACGGGGTCCTCCGCCTCAGCAGCAGCACACTGCTCCTGGCTGCATGGCACTGTAATACTGATAACTCGGCCGGCTCCACACGCGCCCCTGGCACAGTGTGGCGGCGCTCCGGCACATAGGTGGGCAGCACAGTTGGTTACAAAGTCACGGCTTCCTTCTTCTGCTTTCTAAAGCCCGCGATGGGGGAGGGTGTCGGTGGCAGCGGTCCTCCAGGAGTGAGGAGTGCAAAGGGGCACGCGGCTCAGGTGTCCCCTCCAGGAGCAGGCGGAAGGGCTGGCGGGAGGCCTCCCGTCCATCCGGACAAACACACGTACAGAAAAGGGTTATTGCCAGCTCGTGTACTTTCACAATGTGATTTTTGTATTTCGAAAACTTGAATTGTCCCTGGAAGAGAAAAGGGGAGAAAGCAGAGCTCAGTACGTGGGTCGCTGGACACGAGCACACACACCGGGGGAGGACGCGACCTGCGGCTGCGCTCCCCACCCCAGGGCCTCTTTCCCTGCCAGCCTGATCCAAACAGCAACTGCCTCCCAGCTGGCCAGAACTTCATTCTGGCGTTTATAATAGCAAATGACAGGAAGCCACCTCAAGGTAGACCAAACGGGGCTAGCTAAATGTGAAACGCTCAGTGTAACACTATGGAACTTGAAAAGAGAAAAAAGCAGCTTTTTACTAATGTGGAAATCTCCCCAAGATTGACTGATAACCTAAAGAGCAGAACGGTGGGCACACAGCCGGGCATAGGAGCACACTCAGGAGGATTACTGTTTGAGGCCAGCCTGAGCTACATAGTAAGTTCAAAGCCAGCTTAAACTACATAGTGAGACCCTGTCTCAAAAAGCCAACCTCCTCAAACCAACCAACCCCCAAAACCGTGTGCACAGAGTAGCCACCCTCCTTGTGTGTGGGGCTGGGTGGGGCAGTAAGGTTATATGCCTGTGTTTGCATGCATATACACTAAGGCTACAGAGACTGGCGGTGGCAGACACTCTTAACCATGTGAGACACAAAACCCACCCACAGTGCCCAGTTTAAAACATGAGACTGATGCCGGGCGGGCACGATGGTGCACATCTATAATCCCAGCACTCAGCAGGCTGCGGCAGGAGAGCCAGGAGTTCAAGGCCAGCCTGCATTACACACTGAGACCCTGCCTCAAAAAACACAAAAACAAACCATAGGGCTGCTTGTACAAGACGGGGCAGTGCGCAGGAGGTATGCTCGGAGGCTTTGGCTCTGTCCTGAAGGAGAGGCTGGGGCTTGTGCCAGCTTGTCCGCCTTCTGCGGATGCAGCCTGGCACCTACTATGAGCCTTTGCTGTGCCGCACTAGCGCCGCCTCAGCAGGGCACATCACTGCCCGAACCTCAGCGTCACAGGGGTTCTCTGGCAGGGACTCTAAAGGTCACCTAGCAGCTGTGCGAGCCTGGGGCTTTAGGTTTAATTATACAGAGATGCATGGAGACATTCTCATTAAGCTGGCTTCGCAGTTATTACTATTTCCCTTTTGGTTTGAAAGGGACCGATCTTAAAATTGTTATAAATAAAAGAGTCTCCGGCAACGGGTCCAGAATAAATAAACACTGAAGACTGGGCCAGGATGTAGCTCAGCCGTACAGCACCCGCCTGGCAAGCGCGAGCCTCTGAGTTCGAGTCCCAGTACCAAAACAAAAAACAAAGGGCAGCCTAGCCAGAGTGCAGCTTCCCCTACTGTGGCTGGTGTGGCAGCTGGCAGTGAGCAAGAGCCCTGTGCAGAGAGGATGAGGTAGACAAGGACTGAGGGGAGGCGAGCTGGCCGGCGAGCAGGCCAAGAAACCGATGCTCTCTGAAGGCCACTGGTGTCTGTATACCAGACCAGGTGGCTCATTTATAGTCCCTGGCATTTCAACCTCTCAGTGTAAAAATCTCCAAAGGACAGATCCCTCCAAGCGGCCACAGTAGCCAGGAGGGGAGACCCAACATGGCTGCACCGCCTCCGAGTGCCATGGGGCTGATGCCTGTGGGCAGAAGTCACCTCCTGCTGTGAGGAGCACTACTGAAGGCAGGGTGAGGGAAGTGGGCTCTGCTCCTCTCCTCCCGCTGAGGACCCTCCTGCTCGGGAAAGCCCAGGACAGCTGGTCTAGCAGGGACTTAGCAGGAGGGCGAATGAGGCCGGGTTGCGGAAGGCTGGAGGAATCCTCTATCCTACTAAGGGAGGTGGCAGGCAAGTATCCCACCCGCTCAGTGGGCTGCTGAGGGTTTCTCAGGCCAGTTATTACCATGAGTAGCTCGTTCCATCTTTTTTTTTATTTTTTGGTACCAGGAATTTAACCCAGGGCCTTGTGCTTGCCAGGCAGGTGCTGGGCCTGCTCAGCTACATCCCCGCCCCCTCATTTGATCTTTTGGAAGAATTCCTGTACGACACTGGGGTTAGGTCGGAAACACAATTTTCTTCTGTAATAGGGAGATTTCTACCTCACTGCTACTCAGATTTTTAGCAACTGCTCGTTTCTTTTCTTACTAGAGACCTCCTTACAGTCTGAAAACCTTCTACGAAGTCCTACAATTCTCAGGTCCACTTGCAAAATGGAAATGGGTACAGAAGAGTAAAAAAGCCAGGAGAATCCACCCGCGAGTTTCCAGAGTTAACAGGGAACAAAGAGCAGGTGGGTGGGTGGCCTGCCCCACGGGGACAGGCTCCAGTAGGCCGGTGGCCACAAGGGCCGCAGCTGTGGTCCAGCCTTGCTACAACAGTGGAGAACGGCCTGGCGCCACACTCGGACTGAGGGACACACTCCCCTAACTGGGTACGTGTTCACTCCAGACTGCAGCAGAGAGGCCCAGTACACAGGGAGAGAGACTGCAGACAGGAGCAGGCAGACAGGCAAGCTTTTTCCCTTTTCTTTTTATATGCTTTTGTTCTTTTCAAGGCAAACTAAAACCCAGAAATCTGTGGTGAGCTCTGGAAAGCTGCCTTCTTGCCTCCAGCCATGCTCTGACAATGCATGTGCTACACTTACTGTACCCAAGGGGACACAGGAGTCGCCAGTGCACAGTGTGGGGGAAAGAATTCGTTCTTGCTGGGTGTGGTAACATTCACCTGCAGTCCCAGCTACTCAGGAGGCTGAGGCAGGAGAACTGCTTGAGCCCAGGAATTTAAGGCCAGCCTGGATAACATAGCAGACCTCATCTCAATTAACCAATCAACCAATCATTAAAAAAATAATAAAATAAAGAAATATATACCAGGGCTGGTGATGGTACACCCAGTGCTAAAGCACTTACTTAGCATACATGGAGGCCCCAGGTTCAATCCCCAGCCTTACAAAGAAAAAAAAAGGAAAGAATTCTTTCCCTTCTGGATAAAGAGTCTCATCCAAACTGGCTTCTCACACGACACTCCCTGCTACCTTAGGTAAATGAAGCCCACAGCCTGAAACAGCTTTCTCACCTACTCAAAGTGCTCCCCTTCTGCACTTCTAGAGACAGTGCCATCTCTGGAAACAATACGCTAAGGCGGGGTCAACTCCGGAAGGCAGGCATGAGAAGGCAAGGCCATCCCTGAGAATGCACCCCCACCCCCGCCGAGTTTCAAGCCACTCTGAGTGGCCAGGCAGGAGCACCTGGCACGGAGTCTGCTCTGAGAAGGCTGCTCAGGCTGCCTTCAGCACCAGCTGGGAAGCTGCTCTGGAAGATGCTCTCTGCTAGCCGCACCTGCCCAGGGCACAGTTCCGGCTTCCTCTTTCCGCACATTCAATAAAGCCGCAAACCCTGTTCAGGTTCCACAGGGCCAATCTCCATCTCTTCTCCCACTCAAGCCACACTGCTGCACTCCCCAACGACACGGATCCCTGTCCTGTACCAACATGCAGCCAGCCAGGTGCTCTTGGTGCTGTGACTCTGGCTAAAGCAATGGCCAAAGGGCAATGCCTCTTTGTAAGGGAAGTCAAATAAAATACTCTTAAAATACTGACAGTCATATGTAATGACATCGTCAATAAACTGAGGAGAAGGATCTGAAGTGTTAAAATCAACTGACTGACTGCTGGGAATTAAACCTGGGGCCTCCCACACTCTAGACAAGCACTGTACCACCAAGCCATATCCTGGCCCTTTTCTATTCTGTACTGAGACGAGGTCTCATTAACCTGTCCAGGGTGTGTTCCTCCTACCTCAGCCTCTGAAGTTAGGGTTACAGGCATGCACCACCACGCCCAAGAATGTAGTAGTTTTTCCACCAACTGCTTCATAGATTGTGATCTACTTAGGGAAAAAAATAAAGGGGGAGAGGAAGAGAGGCTAGAGTGCCACGGGCAATGAAGTGGCGGATGAAGCGAACGGGTCAAGCCCGTCCTCTGAAGCCAGGCTCCGTCAGGGAGATGACACAGACGGCGTCTGAGAGTCTGCTGAGGCAGTGAGCGGTGTGGGCTCCCCGCACATCTCCAAGCCTGTACTTCAAGAACACCCGAGCCATCGAGCACCGAACAGAGAGGGGCTACCCAATGGCAGTTATGCAAGTAGCGTAACTTTTCAAAGCAATTCAAAGGTATTTTTTCCTGGAGGATTTAGTGTCTGCTATGAGAGGGAGTTGTTTTATGTTTTCTTCTATTCTGTTTCAATTTTTGGACTTTTCTCCAGGGAAACTGAGATGCCTTCATTCCTTTCCATCCCTCAAGAACGGGGGATTCAACCTAGGGCCTTCACACTAAACCATCTCTAGCCGTTTTTCATTTTGAGACAGGGTCTCGGTAAGTCACTGCTAGCCAGGTTGGGCTCCCGCTTGCAATCCTCCTGCCTTAACCTCCCCAAATGCTAATTACAGGTGTATGCCACCATGCCTGGCTCTCAATATTTATTTATTTATTCATTCACTCATTAATTCATTTATTTGAGACATGGTCTTGCTAGGTAGGCCAGATTGGCCTTGAACTTATGGCAATCCTCCTGTCTCAGCCTCCTGAGTGCTGGGACTATAGGTGTGCGTTACCACACCCAGGTTGGCTGTTTTTTTCTTTTTTTGGTTTTTTGAGACAGGGTCTCGCTATGTAGTTTAACGGGCCTTGTAACTATTAACTAGCCTTGGACTACTATATAGCCTCTGTTGACCTCAAACTCCCAAGGATCTTCTTGCCTCAGCCTTCCAAGTGCTGTGATTATAGGTGTGTACCACCACGCCTGCCTCTTGGCTCTCAATTTCTAAAGGTACTACCATCTGATGTACTAAGAAGTAGAACACACTGTCAATTAAATGATGACAAAATTTTCTTATCACACTCACTGTTAATCCCAACTTTGGGAATACTAAGCAAAAAAAAAAAAAAAAAAAAAAAAAAAAAAAAAAGGAAAAGAAAAAACCTTAGAAATAATTAAAATGATAGTATTATTAAAACAATTCCATTACATCACTGTGCTTATGAAAATTTAACTGCGTATGTGCTGTATTTTCAGCCTGCAGGTGAATAACCTATATACTCCTGGAATTGAAACATATCTACTGGCAACCATCTTGGAATTCTGTATCTACTTGTAAACTAGTTTTTAAAATCTAGAACTGCTACCTTAAACACTGAATTTACAGTAACGGAGCCACACTATAAAAACAGGGCACTGCCGGTGTGTGCAGGAGCCTTGTGACTGCTTGTCTCCAGGTCCTGGGACCACGGAGCACCCAGCCCCTGGGAATCAGCTTCTGTCCCACAGCGGCCCTCTCTCCAGCTTGCCTGAGGGATACGGCTCCTTCTCTGGGGCACCTTCAGCTCCTTCCCAGGAAGGGGACTTCTGGAGCAGCTGCTGCCGCTGGCAAGTTCTACTCCAACTGCAGAAATGCTGCTTCTCGGGGAGGGGATGAGACAGGTGGGAGTAGGGGCAGCCTGGTGTCCCAGCGCAGGTGCTCATCTCTGGCCCAGGTAGACACCAACCTTTCACCCTTCCCTCTAGCTCTGAATAAATTTACCCAGCTCCCCATGCCAGAGACAGAGATGGAAGCGAACACAGACGGCCTGAAGGTAAATGTCTGGTGGGCCCAGCCCCCTGCCTCCGTGAGCTGACTGTGACGCTCCAGCGCTAGCTGGGTGCAGCCTGCATCTGTCCCTCACACAGCCCAGAGGCCCGCACCAGCCCTTTACTGTCACTGCTCAGGGTCTGAACTTACAGCTCTGTTCCCTCACGACTGACAGGCATCACCAGCAAACGAGACATACCTCTCCCCTAACTCAGTTGGGGCTCACGGGACTGCCCTTCTGGTCACTGAACTTTGGCAGACGGCATGAAAATGGTCTTACTAGAGCCACCAGAAAAAAAGTCTGGAGCACGTTAACCATTACAAATGTTAGCATAATGGGTCTCAGAGACCTGTGGTTCTGTGGGCCTCGTTTTCAGATGGCAATAAGATGCATAATGAGGTGAAATGACCTACCAAGGGCCCACCAGATGTGTGACTGGCCACGGAGGCTTGATGCTGGCAGAGGTAAGGCTGGGGGCAGTGGGCAAGGGCATCCCCTTGGGGAGAGGGTCCCTCTGGCTGAGAGGTGTACCATGGGGTTACAGAGAAGGTAGACAAGGCCCTACCCTGAGTGTGAGACAGAGGGGGAGCGCCGATCAGCGGCCGCTGCTGTTCACTAGGCCATGAAACTCCTCCCAGGCCCTGGCAAACCAGAGACAAAAAACACAACAGCACATTCAGATCAAACGCTTTTACAGAGAGTAGACACCATCACCCGCCTCCCACTCCAGACGCCCTCGAGGCCGCAGGGCCAAGCAGCCACTTTCTTCTTAGGTGGGCACAGGTCAGCAGCTGGCCCTGCCCCAGTGTGCCCCACGTCAGAAGCTTGGCCCTCCTTACTTGAGGATCTGCCACTGTGCCCCTTCAGCAAGGCTACTGGAGGCCACTGAGGTCAGAGCTGATGCTCGGCTAAGCCCAGAAGCATGTCCAGCTGTAGCATGGGCAACAGCACATCCCACCTCTTCCACCTTGGGTCTCTGGCAATAGGTGGCCTCACCCTAAGGGCAAAGCCAAGTACCCAACAGCACTGCACTGTTGAAAGATGCAATGGGGAAATTATACCTTCTCTGCATTCACATTCCCAGACTTGGGCCTCAATGTGACAGGCTCCATCTGTTTTCTCAAATACCCATGTAGCAATTCTCCTAAAAGTGAAGCTATAGAGGCCAGGGCAGGAACAAGGCTCAGTACAATTCGCATGCAGAGTAACTCAATTTGGAAACTGGGCTAAGGAAAGGGTGAGAAATGAGACTGGAAGCGTAGGTAGGTAGGTAGGGTAGAAATGAGACTTGCAGGCAGTGCCCACCAACAGATCCTTGGGCTCTGTGGGAGAAAGGAGGCCAAGCAAAGATGAGGTCCCCTTGAGTACTAGATGCTCCACCTACCCCAAGTTTTCTCAGAGGAGCTGACTTACACACTTTCTGCTCTAGCTATGTTTCAGGCCTGAAGCACTAAGTTCCTTGGGGACTATACATAAAATCCAGCGTTTCTAAACCTGAAGTTCTTTTTCATTCTGGGTTTAAGTTGGTGACATGGCACCTGGGGTGAAAATATACCATGTCACTCATGACACATTTAATATCATGACCACTATATACTTCTTTCCAAGCTCTCTATAGATACCTTCTTAAAAAAAAAAAAAAAAAAAAAGCAGGCCTGGGAGATGTAGTTCAGTAGTAAAGCATTCGCCTAGCATGTGCAAAGCCCTGGATACAACCCCGGCACTGCAAATAAATAAGACAAATAAATAAATAAATATTTAGAAAGGAGCGATTATATAGAGACCTGGCAGAAATGTAACTTCATTTTTCTAAGCAATGTTTACAGCCATTTCATTAGTATTTCCCTCTTTTGAATAGCGCATTTGTAACTGTTTATGACAATGGTTTCCTCTGTGAGCATTACCCATGCTGCTAGCGTAGGGTACCTGGCTTGAGAAAAGAATGCTAAGACAAGTGTGCCAGACTCTGCCAATCCCCAAACTCAACCTCCTCAGGGAGATGTCTGTCCCACAGCCTTTTCAGGAGAGACGGTGACAAGGTGCACTGAGTCTGTGAGTGACACTGAAAGGCAATTTCGCTCTGCACTGCAAGTGAAGATGAGGCCAAAGCAAACGCCAATGCTTGGGCAATGACCTACGGGAAAACTTTTTTTCTAAGAGTTAAGTTCTACTTTAAACAATAAACAAGGTTCTAACAAAAAATTATACAGCTGTTGAAGTTTCAGCTCTTTCTGATTTCAGAAAGGCCTATACCTACACTAGCCTAAACCAAGTAGCTTACTGAGTCAAGAACCTTAAAGGGGACTTCAGAAGCCCCTCAAATGCACGTCAGTGTTAAACTGCTCTCCTAGTTCCTTCAGAAATATCCTTACTGTACATGAAAACTCAATGTGAAGAATCTGGGTTCAGAAATTTTCTTGCAGATTCACTGGAAATAAAACAGTTGACAAAACCTATGGTACAGTCACTCTTTTTACAGCCAGTGAGTTGTGAGTAGACTAGCTACTTTCTACCCTGGTATCCCAGGCATATTAGGTGATATTGAAAGTTTCTTTCTTTAAAGGTAAGAAAGAACAAGTTAAGTGTATAAAGTGTCACATGACTGGAGTTTCTAAAAATAAAAAAATCACTGAGACTAACATAGCCTACATGGGACAGAGTAACAAACAGCCTTTTCTAGTCTACTTGTCCCAGCTCACTTACCAGAAAGCAAATTCCCCCCCTTTTTTTTTTTTTTTTTTTTCTTTTTGAGACAGGGTCTCACTATGCAGGTCAGGCTGGCCTTGAGCTCACTTTGTAGCCCAGGCTGGTCTCGAACTCACAATGATCCTCCTGCCTCACCCTCCTGATTACAGGCGTGCACTGGGATTACAGGCATGCACCACCATGCCTGGCTCAGAAAGCAAATTCTGAGAGCAGAGATCTTATTTCTGTGTAACTGTACTGTCCTCTACCCATCCAAACCCTGCATCTAAGCCATGCATTCAGCCAGCCCAATGCCTCCTGCCAACCTTCGCTTCCTTCATGGGCTTGGAGTATCGGTGTGGTGGTACAGCTCAAAACAAAAAGCCAGACCAACAATAATGCTGGTGTGAGTACTCACAACTGTCTTGGTCCTTGCCTCTGTATCAGTGATATCTAGACATGGTAAGGGTGTCCCCACAGCTCAACCTGTCTCTCCTGTAGAACACAGAGGAGCCCCCTATCTTCACCTCACTGCAGAGAAGGCCGGTCAGGCTTGCCCAGGCACCGTGGTCCATGACAGAAAGCCGTCTCTGTCCTCCTTTTCCATTCCAGAGGCACACAGGAACCAATGGGTCTACTCCAGAGGAGTTTCCTTACATGACAGTGCTGTTTTAGATGGCCTGTGTGCAGCTGTATCCAACTGGCCCCATGATTACGGCTGCCACGATGCCTCTCCTCAAATCAGCGACACCGCAAGTCACTTGACACTTGTAAGGACATAAATCAATGAAAACTCAAGTGTGATCTGGTCTCATTAAAAGGAGCCATAACATGAGCAAAACCACCATTTGCCAAGCTCCACGTTTCCCAGGATGATGAGGCATAATGAGGACCAAGCCCTCCACAGCAACTCAGCCCATCAGCCCTTCTGTGTGCCGACGGACCTCTCCTGGCTCACCCAGGGATGCAGCAGGAAAAGGCCACAGCAGTGGCTGGTGGAAGGCTAGAAAGACAAACAGGTGGGAGACACTGAAAATGACAGAGACACAGCAAGCTGCAGGAGCAGTGCTGGGCAGAACCTAAGCCCCTCCTCAAAACATGCCCTGACCCTTTCGGCAGTCCTCCTCTCTGGAGGACCTTGGCAGAACCACTGTTGGTTCTGTCTTCATTTCCCTTAGAAGTCTCAAGTCCCAGTGACTGCTGCCCCTGGGTTCAAACAGGGGCACAGCTATGGAACAGCCATGGCACAGAGTAAGGCAGAACTAGTTCCAACTTCTCCTCACATATGGCCAGGATCGAGCTGGGGGGGGCGTCAAGGTTAGCCTGTTGTTTCCTCATTGACTCTTGCTCAGAAGGTGACACCAAGCTCACCCCCCGGAGCAGGTACAATGTGGCTGAGGTTCAGGTCAACGCATGTAACAAGACGCTAGAAGGCACGGCAAGGGCCAGAGGTGGTCATTCTTAGACAGAGGCTAAAAGCAGAGAATGGATCTTTCCATTTTCCAGCAAATCTCTCATTTTCTAAGTACTTCAATCAATTTAGGGGATGCAATAAACAGAGGAACAACGACACAAACACTCCCATAACGCTGAGCCCAAGGTGCCAGTCTCGGTCACTTTCTGTTAGGAGCCTGGGCCCCATGGAGACTGGGTAAGCCAGGGCAGGACAGGCACCAGTGCCACTGCCACCGTGGAGAACTCAACCTCACAGCACTTCCACAGGTGCCCCACCCCAGAGTTGCAAAAATGATTACCTATGGTTTGGGGAATGGCCCCTAGGAAAACTGAAGGTAACATGAGGCTTGCAGAAGCTCTCCATGCAGGTTAGGCGCCAGAGGGCAAGCTGCAGTGCACACAAGCCAAAGCTGCAAGGACCACAGGAGGCTGGCGTGTCCACAGTCACACCCCCTCAGCGAAGGCCCATCCCCACCTGACCTGAGGCCCAGGCACCCCGGGCTAGGGGCAGCAGGGCCACACCTCTGGGATCATGTTTGCACGCTAGCTCCAAGAGCAAGATGATTTGGCTCTATGGGGAATGCAGAAGGGAGGCGGCTAGGAAAGAGCTTGGGGCCTGGGCAGCTTTGGCACCAGCAAAAACCCCATTAGCACAAAGCAAGAATGCTATGTGTGTGCAGCCACACACAGATGGAAGCAGGGCTTTACCTCTAAGCAAGAGATTTCTCTGAAGTAAAGGCAAATGGAAACCAGCGAAGCAAAGGCCAAGGATCCTCCTTCCCAACCCTGACAAACTTTCAAGTGGAATTCAAAATCAGAAACCACTTTGGGCTGGTCATCAGCGTGACCAAATGGGAGCTAAATTCAAGTACCATGGAACAGGGTCTTTTTGAGAACTACATGTTCTCATTACGTCAGACCTCGGCAGTTCTGGGACCACGCACCACACGACGCTACGTGGTGGGCTCATGGAAAATGAGGCTGCATTCCCCAGATGACCCTGCATGGAGAAGTCCGTGCCATCCCTTAATATGGTGACAGTCAGTCCGAAGGCCACATCTTGATGCACCATAAAGAGCAAGAGCATGAGACAAGCTAGTTTAGCACCGTTTATTTGTGATCTCAGCTGTTGTCGTAGCTGCTGCGAGCCAGCCTGTCCTCAAAGCATAACATGCTCTTCCATTCCTCTTGTCCAGGACAGAAGGGTCTTCCAGGTGGCACACCAACAGAACAAGGGACTCCGATGACGCCAGCTTCAATGATGGTGCCATCCAGAGAGGGAGAGGGTCATGGCACATTCAACCGCGGCTTCCAGAGGTTTTGAAAAAGGAGCCTTTGGGGGCCCAGCCTGCCTGGCATTCTAGTGGAAGTGCAAAAGGTGGCTCATTGGGAGAGGAAAGAGAGGGGGACGCGAGGGATGGCGGCATCTGGGTCTGGAGGAGGGTGTTCTGGCCCCACGGCTGCAGGGCTGGAGCCCGAGACATGCTCTGGAGAAGGCAGCGCAGCAGGCCAGCCCCTCTATCAGACTAAGAAAGGCCAGAGGCTTTGCTGGACTCTAGAAGGCCTTGTGCATGTTTCTACAATAGTCAGGATGAATCACTTCAGGGGATCAGGAAGGGAGAACCTTGGAGAGGAGAGAATTGATGAAAAACACCTCCTTCCCTTTCTTGCCCACATGTGAACTTGGCTTTGGGTTGGTAGAGTGGGGGAAAACTTGAGAATCCTGGAAACAAGAGTTCTACAAGCAGGTCTTTCCAGCCTGGACAGAACCTGGCAGAAGGGCAGAAACTACCAGTGCCCCAGAACAGAGAGTAAAGCAGATGTAGCTCGAGAAGACAGCACTAACACCAGCTGCCAAGGGAAGACCCAGGGACAGGACTGGCCAGTGACTGCTGCTGGCTAGGATGGTCACACCCAGCTATATGATTACAGACCAACGCCTGTGGCAGTGCGCCCGTCAGGCTAGCATCAAGCTGGTAGACGCAAACTCCACCCACGAATGCATGGAAAAGAGAATCCCAAATGGTGCTGCTGAACACAGTCACTGGGCTCACTACTGGTCTTTAGTAAGAACCACATGATCGTGACATTACTAACGATGGTGATGACAGCAACATGATGCTTGGCCTTCTAAGAGCTTTCTCCCTGAGGACCTTCGGTTACAAGATTACATCAGCCTCCTCACAATCCTGGTAGGGAAAGCATTACTGTTCCCCAGTGTATAGCTGGGGAAACTGCAGCGGAGCTGTAAAGGAACTCGCCCAAGGCACGTACTGATTCGGGCCCACAGGAGACAACTAAATCTGAGTCTAGACTCCCACTCTGCTTCTCTGACTCCAATGTGGAGACAACCTGGCATTTGCTCCCACAACCTTCTCATCACAACCTGTCCTTGTTTCTGACCCTTGATCACTAAAGGAGCAAGCTCGCCAGTGACTTTCCCTGTGGAGAGAGCTGCGCTGCCTAAGTCCTGAGGAAATCTCAAAGCTTTTCCCTTTAGTTCTCCTCCCTCATACACTGCCCTGCCTTCTCTACAACTTTGGCTCTATACACAAGGAAATGGAGGTATAAGGCCTGTTAAGAAGTTAACTTCCCAGGACAAAGAAAACAGACTGAAGCTAACAGGTTAAATAGACATGCAAAAGGGAGGTGAGGGATGGGCTGGGAAGAGGACTTTATTGTTCAGTGAAATTATCTTTCAAGAACAGCCAGATAAAAGAAAAGCGCTTTGCCTCTTTTTCAGATAGTGGTTAGCATGGGAAAGACAAGACAGCCTATAGAAATGAAGCCAGTGCAGGCAGTGAAACTGGGTTCTGTGGAAGGGCTCTCTGCCTCAAAGCACCCCACGGTGCTGGGAGGCAGGGAGCCTCGCCAGCAACACCTGCACAGAGTGGCCAGAAGCCATAGAGGGGCTGGCCTGACTGGTCTATCTCCTCTCCACAAGCCAATCTCCTGTACAACCATGCGCCTCTGGGCCCAACTACGGAGCTACTTCTGCTAAGTTCAGGGGCCTGTCCCCCCCAGCACCCCCAACACGTACTTGATGCTGTCGGTGTGAGTTTTGTATTCCATAATGGTGTTGGGAGGTAGGTTAAGCACGCGCCGAAGTGTGTCCCGGATTCGGGCTGTGGTTGCTTGGTCACTGGCAGTCTTATTCCATATGGAAATAATGTCTTCCTACGGGAGAGCAAAGGCATCAGCAAGCAAACCAGAGGCAGTGAGGAGAGCCAGGTGACACAAGAACACAGACTGGCCCGGAGTGCTTACCTGGAAGCGGACAGAGACCACAGCCCCACAGATCTCCTCCCCAACCATGAACTGTTCCCCCAGCAAGGCCAGAATGAGATTCTCCCAGCACCGGGAGGCCAATCCCTTCCGCAGCCGAATGATCCACTTGCCACCATTTTTATTTGCATCATCCTATAAAAAGGCAGAAAATGTTCAAGTTCAAATATTGGTTCACAGCTTCTTTTACATTAAAGCACTAAAAAGCCCAGAATCCCTTCAAGGCAACCCACTTTCTGAGCTTTTCTTTCTTTCAATAAATTCTTCCTACTCTTAAAAAAAGAATCTGGGATTATGCAACTTATAGAAAAAATGGTAGTAAGGCTAGGAAGAGAAGCAACTGGGAAGAAAAAAAAAAACAAAGCAAGTATATTTAGCACATGCTATTTCAAAAGACAGCTACATAGATCTTTCTAAAAGAATGCTCTTATCAGAATTACTTTAGGAATCAAAGTAATGTCAGATTTGAAAGAGACCATCACTTCATTTGTTCAAAGTTCGCTGAGTGTCACCATGTACCAAGTACAGTTGAGAAACCCCAACCTCCACTCAGATCCAGAGTGGCAGAGAAAGACAAGAGTAATGACAGTCATGCAGACCAACCAGAGCTGCTGAAACAAGCAGTGGGTTAACAAGGAACACAACAGCTGGAAGTGGGCTGGCAGGCAAAGCGCATGAGGGCACTTCTGGCACTGGGAAGGGCATGTCTGTGCACAAACTATGGGGGAGGGACATGCAAATGAGATCTCACTGTAAGGAAGGGAGGATTTTAGAGATGATGGGAAATGAGGTAAATTTTGGAAGGTAAATCATGGAAGCAGTGACAGCAATGGCTCTGCAAAGAGATCACAGCTCAGCTTTGGGTTTCCAGTTACTGCCTTTATTTTCTGATCACTTCAGTCATATGTAAAAATATTTTAAAATTAAGTTTATTGGTACATTTTAGGTATACATAGTGATCAAACTAATCACAGGGAATTTGTATCTGTACACGATACATCCTGATTCTTCCCCCCCCGACCCCCTACCCTCCATCCCTCTTCCCCTCCCTATTTACAAAAGCTTTGTTCCCATTTTTCCTTTCTCCTTTCCTTCCTTCTTTTCCCCCTTCCCCCTCACTAGTTCCCCTTCCCATTTCAACATTTTCCTCCTATTTCACAATATCTATGATACATTTTGGTTCTTATTTACACTTTCGGTTTCTCATACCACAGATACTGTTTAAAAATATTATACACACACACCAATGAATTTTGTGGGAACAAGGACAATTTTAAAAAAACCCTTTAATGCTGTAATAATACCACTTGCATAGTAACACCATCATTAAAACCACCCAGCATCAACGAATGCAGACACACAACGGCATTAGTGCCTTTCCCTAGGGGTCTGAGTTCCCAGGATATATCCAGTAATGTTATGGTTTTTTCTTTTTTTTCCGGAGACAGGATTTCACTATGCAGTTCACACTGGCCTTCGACTGACTATGTAGCTCAGGCTGGCTTCAAACTTACAGCAATTCTGAGTACTACAATTACAGGAGTGTGCCACAACACCCAGCTAGTGTTGCAGGGTTTTTTGTTGTTGTTGTTTTTGTCTTTTTGAGACAGGGTCTCGCTACGCAGTTCAGGCTGGCCTTGAGTTCACTTTTTAGCCCAGGCTGGTCTCGAACATGCAACAACACTACTGCCCTGCCTCAGCCTCAGAGTGCTGGAATTACAGGTGTGCACCACCACACCTGGCTCTAGTGTTGCAGTTTTATTTTATTTTATTTTATTTTTTTGGGGGGTGGGGGGGCTTCCGGTACTGGGAATCCAACTCACGACCTTGCACTTGCCAGGCAGATGCTGTGCTGCTGAGTTAAATCCCCAGCCCCTTAGTGTTGCAGTTTTGAAGACAATTTTAAAATAATTTTAACCTTGGCAGAGGATAAAAAAGAAAAAAAAGCAAAGCACAGCAGAGGCCCTCAGTCCTCACCTCCCACATGGGTTTAATTCCTTCTTTGAAGAGATGGAAGTCGCTGTGTCCTGTCAGGTCCCCGGGACGTACCATGTGGCTATAAAACCTCCAGAACTGCTCCACCTGCAGAGAGGTGAACACAGAGTGCAAAGGATGTAGCTTTCCTTTTTTGTTGAATGCACCCAAAGGTCTGACATTTATTTAAGAACATAAACATGAAAGCTGTCTTCTTTGTGTGAAAATGAAAACATATTAGAGGAAACACACATTATATAGTTGGACCAAAGAACAATGTATTACTGGTAACAACAGAATAAACTCTTTGAGCAAGAAATGTTAGCCTTACCACAAGGGTACATACTTTCCTATCAGAGGTGCAGGGCAACTGTCACATGCAGTAGGAGGACCAGTGTTTTGCAAAATGGTGACCTTCTATGTTAAATGCTATACAGCCTCAGTCTGTAGTTCTTGGAACCAAATCAATTCTTGACCAAAGACTGGCAAATACAGTGTTAGCTGAAATGAAATAGACTTTAGTTCTGCTTAGTCACTGAGCGTAAATGACCACACGTTACTGTTCCAGGGTGCTGTTGCTAATAAGATTGGGACAATCCTAACTGACTTAGCTTCTCAGCTATGGTTTAGGTTTTTTTCTTTGTTCTGTTTTTGTTTTCTGACACAGGGTCTCTCTTTGTAGTTCGGGTTGGCCTCGAACTTACTATGTAGCCCAGGCTGGCCTTGAACCTGCAGCAATCCTCTTGCCTCAGTCTCCTGAGTGCTAGGATTACAGGTGTACACCACCATGCCCATCTTAAATCTTTTTCCTTAGAAAAATTATTTTTTTCCTTGTTCTTCCTTCAAATTGTTTGAAAACTAAACTTCCATTTTTCTCTTAAGTGTATGCTTAGAGTCATCTAAGTGCCTTGGCAGGAGACAGTATCCCTCTGTATTTACAGAGGACACCTACTACCTGCTTGCCAGGAGAGAAGCACACATCAGAAGAGAAGAGAAATACACGGGCGTGTACAGGGTTTTTTTTGTGCAGTGTACAGTGAGCAACTGCTCACTGTATTTGCCAACACTGTGCTAAGGAGACTGAATCAACATGGGGCCAGACATCATCAGAGTCCTGCAGCGGAAGATGGAGATTCTGGTCAAACTTCTAGATCTGGGTAGCAAGCAAGGAGAACCTGATCTTAGGCTGCATGACAGAGCTGTCCCCACAATTCCTCTCTCGAAGAGAAACACGTGAGAAAAAGTCAAGAACCAAGGTCATTCGTAGGACTTCACTGCAGTGCTTCAAGCTAAGAGCTGCTCGGTGTAACTGTACACAATGATTTGGAACCTTAGGTAGTCACGTGGCTACAATGTCCATCCTAACACAGTTGGGGAACATCCACCAGAACCAGTGGCGCCCTGTGAGTCAGGAACTGGAGCGGGGTGCTGGGGAGGAAGCCCACCAAATTCCCCAGGAAAGAATCACTTAACACTTGGATCTCCCTGGATCTTACAGCCAAACTGCACGATCTTATACTACAAGAGGAATGAAATAAAAAACGTGAAAAACCTAACCTTTTATCATCAAAAAACCTAAACCTTTTATCATTAAAAGCTGAATGGGTTTCTTCCAAATGAAAACCAAAAAATAAAAGTTTGACTCAGAATAGGAGGTGCAGTAAGGACCTCAGAAGCCACCCAGATTGTCGTTTGATAACTGAGAAAAAGAGTGTCACGACTTGCTCCAGCACAGAGTCAAGCACCAGGAGAGACCAGGGCTGGGCTGTCCAGTCCAGTGCTCGTCCCAGTTCAGGACACTGTCTTCTTAGAGACCCTGATTTCCTGGACCAATAAACTCTACTCAATCCGAGGATTAAGAATCACTGAGAAAGGGGCTGGGGATTTAGCTCAGTGGCAAAAGCGCCTGCCTGGCAAGTGCAAGGTCGTGAGTTCGGTTCCTGGTACCGGAGAAAAAAACCAAAAAAAAAAAAAAAAAAAAAAAAAAAAAAAAAAAAAAAAAAGAATCACTGAGAAATGCTATCTCAGATTTGATCAAAGGTTGCTTCTCTGTATGGAATTTAATACTGAGAGCCATTTCCTGATGTCTTTTTTTTTTTTGTCTTTCTGAGACAGGGTTTTGTTATACAGTTCACGTTGATCTTGAACTCACTTTGTATCCTGGGCTGGCCTCAAACTCACAACTCTCCAGCCTCAGCCTCCCAAGTGCTGGGATTGCAGGCGTGTGCCACCATGCCTGGCCCTCCATCATCAGACACTGTCTCACACCCAGTGAGTACTGAAGGTGCATCAACTCATGGGTGTACTGATGACAAATCACTTACCATATATGCCAGAGGGAGAAAAATAAACCACAAACCCTTTGCACAAGCCGGGTAAATTCATACATGCTTTTTTGTGAAAGGGAAAGAAAATGCATACTATACTCCTTGTTACTCCAAGTAATTTCAAGAACCCTTTATGAAAACATACTACCCAGTCCAGTTTCTTCTTTGACCTTCCAAGTATCTAAACAGCTGTTTCTAATATAACAAGTGCATCCTACTATGCTTCCAGCATTCTAATGGAGGAGGTAACCACAACTTTTGTGATGGGTTCAGGAATATTACAAAGGCATGTACATTTTCTTTGTCTTTTTGAGACAGGGTCTTGATATGCAGTTAAGGCTGGCCTTGAGCTCACTGTGTAGCTCAGGCTGGTCTTGAACTCACAATGATCCTCCTGCCTCAACCTCTGATCCTCATGCCTCAGCCTCCGATCTTCCTGCCTCAGCCTCCAGGTGCGTGCACCACCATATCTGGCAAGGCACGCATATTTTAAAAGTTTAATTCTGTTTCCTCCACCAAGAATTCCTTTATTATCTGTTCAAATCTTTTAAGTTCAATCTAAACCAGTGTACTCCAAGGCAGCTTTCCCCAAAGTTGAACTGACCCTTTTTTCCTAGGAATGCTAAGGGTGCTCCAGCCATGCCAGTATGGTTTAGATCTAGACTGTCCCCTAAAAGCCGCATGTGTTCAGATGTGGGGCATTCAACAGGTGACTAGATAATGGTGCTGCTATGGCTGACCTGCTGTTAGAAGGCAGGGGTGGCTGGATGGAGGTGTCTTCCTCCCTACCTCCTCCCTTCTCCCTCTGCTTCCTGGCTGCCCTGGGATGAGTAACTGCCCACCCCTTGGGATCCTTCACTCTACCAATTCCACCTTGGAGCCAGCCAACCATTAACTGAAAACAGGAGCCACAATAAAGCCCTCCTCCTTTAAATCGTGGGAGTTCGGTATATTGCCCCAGCCATGAGAAAGTAAATAGAGCTGGGCGTGGTGGCACATGCCTGTAATCCCAGCACATGGGAAGCTGAGGCAGGAAGATTGCTGCAAGCTCAAGGCCAGCCTGGGCTACAAAGTGAGCAAAGGCCAGCCTGAACTGCATAGCTAGACCCTGTCTCAAAAACAAAAAAAAGAAAGTAACTAAGACATGTGCCCTTCCTGCAGCCCCACTTACTGTCTCCCCTGCAGCAGAAATCCCTGGACTTTCCCTGTTCCCCAAAACAGGCTCTGTGTCTTAATTCTTTTTTAGACCCTTATTATACCTTCAATTCATTCAACATTTCTTGAATCAAGTATGGACCAAAGCACAAGCTATTTGGAGTATTTCAAAGAAGCCGGGGGCTGGGGATTTAGCTCAGCGGCAAAGCGCCTGCCTGGCAAGCGCAAGGTCGTGAGTTCGGTTCCCGGTACCGGAGAAAAACCAAAAAAAAAAAAAAAAACAAAGAAGCCTAACGTTACTAGCGATAAGACAGAAGAACCAATCAAACAAGGCCTTTGGACTGGGCTGAAACCATATCAACACAGCAAAGCAATATTGCTGATCTCACAGTAAGCAGACAATCTTATTCCCAGTGGAATATGTGTATGTGATTAATAAGAAATGGAAAATAAATACTGTAACCTTGTGCCACACATTCTGGTATACTGTTGGGCTCTGGAATCTGACTTTCACAGCCCATCTAACCTGGCTTTCAATGCTGGCCCCCCACTTAATCAAGTCAAGTATGACTGACTTGGGATCTTACATTCTCCACTTGTAAAATATGACCACACACACCTATTATAACAACTAAAGGAAACTAAACAACTCCATTACTTACTACATCCTTCCTCTTTATTAGCTTATTATAGTATTTACAATTATAGTACTGTATTCTTTTTCAGAGTTTGCATTTCAAACAAAACAAAAAGTTATTAAGTTCAAGAGAATGTACTACACACAAAGATGAGTAATGATCTTTATCAAACTAGAGTGGTGTTAATTGCAGTCAGAGTCTCTAGGTTCACAAACGAGTCAGTTGTGGGAGACGAACTAAAGCCGAATACTTTGTATGATGGCACTCATAAAAGCAATTATTGGCGATTCATTTCCTTTCTGCACACAGAAAAAGATGCTACTTTATGCATAATCACTATCTTAGCCAAAATCTTATCGGGAGGCTCTTAAATACAAAAGAAAATTTCAATCTTTGCTTTTAACTTTACTATCCAACTTCATGAGGATACCATTTACTACAAAATTCTGTATCCCTTTTAGGACTCTGTACTTTAAGACTCAGTATCTACTTAGAAAACAGTTACACATCATTTATGTATATGTACTTTTATTCAAAACCACCACTCTCATATTTGTTGCTATGTATTTGTTAACTATGGACATCCAAGGAAAATCTAGGAATGAACAAATCTGACCATGGGTATAAGGTTATTTGAGTAAGAAATCCAGTGTGTTAAGTAGGTTACTGGGAAGGTAGGTAAACAGACTGACAAAAACACAGGTAAGAGTATCTTACCAACACAAACCCCGTTAAACCACCAAGTACTCACAGAGGCAAAGGTGCCGATCTGCTTGATATTCTGTTCATAGCTCTGTGAACTGGTGGGACGGCCTGGGGTCCTCCTGGAGTACCAGAAAGTATAGTTGTACTGCAAGGGATGCTCTGCTGGTCCAGGAACAACAGCCTGGGAAGTGAATAAGGTAGCTGAAGCCCTGGGCATTTGTTACATGCTCTGAGACTAAGAAATGTTTTACTGTGTCACATCTTACCATTTCCACAATTAGAATACAACCTCAATGACTTGCATTGTGCCAGAGTCTGCTCACACAGTCAATTCCCTTAGTGTGTTAAATGATTCTAAACTCTTAGGACACTTTATGTGTTCTTATGACTTTTACAGCTTTCTACCTCATACCACAGGCATTATTTTAATATTTTTAGCCGTGTATGTGTGTGTGGCACTGGGGATTTAATCCAGAGCCTTCACCCTGAGCTACATTCTCAGCCCATTTTTAAATTTTGAGACAGTTGCCAAGTTATCCAGGCTGGACTCAAACTTGCAATCCTCCTCCCTCAGCCTCCCAGCGTACCCCCACCCCCAATATCATAGGCATTTATGTTTCCATCTTATCTCAGCATCTGCCCAGCCAGCTCAAGCACTGCCTCCTCCATGGCACTTTCATTACTGAGGAATAGCATGCTGCCTACACTGCTTATGCCTCAGGTTCTCACCTGCAAAATAGGAAGGATAATAACCACCCCAAGGGTTGCTGAGAGGATCAGGTAAATCTATAGATGTACAGTGTCTAGTAACTGGCACAGAGTAAGTCCTCAATAAATGCCAGTGGCTATTATTACAGCTATTATTAAATATAAGGTCCTTGACCCACAGGCACCTTCACCTATGGGTCTTCTTAGCACCTAGTAGAAAAATGCTTGCACTTAGTATTCAATATTTTGGAATAAATAATGATTTCCTTGATGTCTCAAGGGAAAAACCAATTCACCTATTTCTCATTCCCTAAATTTTCTCTTTCCCAAGTCCCTTCCAACTTGAGACTATTACTGATTTAAGAGCTTAAAAGTTCAAGGGATATGTAGGATTTGAAATACTTAGCAGCAGCTTCTGAAGCAACTACCAGCCCAGGTGAGCGCCAGGATTAACTTCTGCCATCCAGGTGAGGAGACACTGTAATCGAGCCAGTATCTCAAGATCTTCTGGGAACAGTAAAGGTCTAAATCCCATAATGAACTCCAGGGATCCCACAATCATTTTTGAAAACAAAACTAGTCAAGTGTGACGGCACATGCCTGAAATCCCAGCACTGAGAAGGCTGTGATAGGAGGACCACCGTGAGTTTGAAGCCTACCTGGGCTTGAATTACACAGTGAGATCTGGTCTCAACAAAACAAAACAAACAAAACAACCCAACCCAACTCAACCCAACCCAACCTACCCCAACCCAACCCAAACCATATACCACACAACAGGACACCATCAAGTTAATCTGGTATCTTCCAGATAAACAGATTCTACATGAAAACGTCTTAAGCACAAAACACACCTTCCTCTTGCTGCTGTTCTGACTCTTGTCTCGTTCTGTTTTTTCCTTCTCACCATCTTTCTGTGTGCTGTTTTCTTCATTCTGATCGTGGTCTCCACTGTCATCATCTTTCAAGCTGAATGGCACAGCAAAATAGTGTTATTTCATGACCAAGTTGATTCCTGGTACCTCACAAAGCCCCAAGTTCATACAAACTATCACATAAGAAACCCAACGTCACTCAAAACACAGTCCCATGAGATCCATCTGGGATGGGAGGACCAAAGAATGTGGAGATACAAACTAGAAGGTTAATAAAATGAAATGCCCATTAGCTAACTTGTGAAGTCCACAATGCACTGTCTTTTGGTTTTCTAATAAGCCATACAATAGAACAATTTAGGTGATCATTTTCTTTGCTAATGGGAAGTTCATGCATTAACCTCTGTGACACTTGGGATAAAAGTAAAAAACACACCCACCTATACTGCCAAGTCTTACCACCTCCTCAGCCTTCCCTACTGTTACACTCAGGTCTTCTTCTGTTAACCTTAATTATGATAAATCCTGAAGCAGGTTCCCTAACACAAATCTCTGCTCTGTACTTATCTTCCAGGTGTCACCAATATTACCTTTCTAAACGTAAGTCTGATTATTTTACTTCATCCTGAAGACTCTCTACCGTCCCTGGCCTTTTGATGCCTACCCTCCAAGATAAAGTACAATGACACATAAGTTCGTCTAGAATCTGACTCCTCTAGCCCCCCACTCCCACACGGGGGCCGCTTGCAAACACCACCCTGAAGCCTGAGATGCCACTCCTCCCCTGTGTTTTTCTACTGGGCAGTGGATTCCCTCAGGGTGCTGTCTTATATCATCTCAGCAGCCCCGGCACTCAGGACAGAAAGATGCTGAATAAATGTTAAATGAACAGGAAAAATGAAAACACTCAACTGGACCATTCATTCACTCATCATGGATTTTCTCCAGAATAATGACTTTATGTACTGCATAGTCAGATAAAATCAGGCAATTCTCAAGAAAGGTACCAGAATTGTTCCAATTACAACTCAAATATTATCCTACACAGATATAGAAACATGCCATAGGATATTTTCCATCTATAGGTTTTTCTCCTTTTTCCCCATGAATCTCCAGTGTCTAACACATAGAAAACATGCAGTAAGTATGACACTGGATGAACCAGCCAGGTGCTAAGGTGCCTGTTCTGCTAACATCACCATCTGAGCTGTAGCAGATACTCAGCTGCTAGTGCCCAGTGCCAGGATCCACCCCATACTCACCCTGGCCAAGCTTTAGCTAGGCATGATAGTACATGCCTGTGGCCCTAGCACTGTAGGGTACTGAGGCACGAGGATCCCAAGTTCCAGTCCACCCTGGGCAACTCAGTGACTGGCCCCATCTCAAAATAAAAAATTAAAGAAAGGGCTGAAGATATAGCTCAGTGTGAAGGCCCTGGGTTTAACTCCCAGTACCTAAAGCAGGAGTAGTCCAGCTTGGCCAGTAATCTATGCCTCAGGGCCTTGCTAAAAAATACGAGATTTTTCCCTCAGCATATCACTGGGGCACGGAAAAGACCACAGACTCAGGAGGTAGAACAGCTATATGGGAACTATGCAAGAAAAGCTATGAGGGAGTCAAGATAAGGAAAAAAGCCAAAGAGGAGAGAGTGCAGAGGACTAATGCTTCCACCTTCTGGCTTTGTTCAGCCTCCTTGGACTTCTAGGAGGCCACTGCCTGTGCTTAAGACACCCTCCTCCCAAATAAATAAAGTTTTCCTCTTCAAAAGGAACCTTGCCTAGTACATAGCCCTGAGGGTTAAAAATTACCATTGTTTACCAACCATTTACTGTGTATCACCTACTAGAGTGCCTGTCCCCAAGGACCTAACCAAGGAGATGGCTACAGACACTCATGCCTCACATGGTGCAAAGACCCTGTTCTGCCCATGGGTTCCAAAAGTATCTCCTGCCTGGTCCCCACAAATTCCTTTCACTTCAGTTGTACCAATCTAAGTGCAGTTCCTCAGTCTTTTTTTTTTTTTCGGTACCGGGAATTGAATTTCCGACCTTGCGCTTGCCAGGCTGAGCTAAATGCCCAGCCCCAGTTCCTCAGTCTTATGACTCAGTTACAGGTTATGCTCAGTTGTGTGGTCTGCCTCCTCCCCTAGTTAACTGTCCTGCAGGACACATTTTCTCCTGACCTCTCCCAATACAGGCTATTTCGGGCTCTGCTCTTCTAAACTTCCCCATATAAGCATTTATGTTTAGCCTGATTATGCTGTCTCAGCCAGCCCTCCTCCCATCCAGAACAGCACATGGGTTTTTCTACTGCTTAGGCTGTGGATAGCTTTGTACTCTCTTCTTTCTATAGGGCATACCCTAGGGATGCAAATCATTTCCTCTCTTCTCTGCTTCCAACTCACATTAAAGCCTCTGCGGTCCCCTCCATTACAGCTTGGTTGAAGAAAGGCAGTCACCCCATCATCTCCCATTTTGCTAATCCCAGGAAAATAATTATATTCCTTTCATTTAGTAATTTTGCTACTAATCACTATTAGGATACAGACTAAGAGAAATAATGCCATAGAAGGAAAATGTTACTGTGATCCCTGGACTACCTTCCTCACTCCCTTCTAAACAGGTAAATATAAACCCAATGAAAGTTTACCTACTGCTTTTTATTTCTCAAGGGTGGAGTTAACTACCACCTTGCCCTTTAAGCCTACACTTAGGCAAATCTTTTACAATCTCAAAGACAAGTTGTCTACCCAACTTAAAGCTGGATGTCAGCCAAAGTACAACCCAGAATGAAAATTCAGTGCTCCACAGACTCAGTCAGGCAACTTGCACTGGAGGCTGTCCAAACTAAGTGGCACCTTGGCTAGTTCACCGGGTTTCTGCTCAGCTACTTCTTCACACTCTCTGAGCTAGACCAAATATCTGTGGGTTGGAACTTGATCCAACTGAAGTTGATCCAGAGTTGTTTGAATCTCTGGTATCAGACAGTAGTATAAAATACAGGTCTGTTTAATTAACAGATTTCTAAAATCAAGGTGATGAGTGCCAAATAAGTGATTCAGACAATAGTTTAAAGAATGGATCAAAAGCCTATGATATAAAACAAGCAGTGACAAAATCAAGCGTGGCATCTAGAAAACCAAGATCTGAAAACCAAGTTATCACAGTCAGGACTTCCGATCTTGGGAAAACATCTTAAGGTTTCACACATCAACAGGATCAATGGCAGCAGGATTTCAGGACTTGACAGGTCTATATTCTCTGCAACCCTTCCCAAAGGAATCACAATCTTTGGTTACATGCACACAAGCAGAACCCAATATGTAAAGGAAGTTAGTGTTCTTTAACCTGAGCCCATCAGATCACACTCCTGTCCTCAGCTACAGGCACTCCTTGAAAAGATTCTGACAAACTAGAACACATCCTCAAGGTGAGGTGGTGAAGAATGCACACTGCAAGTATGTAACAATGGCCTAAACCCTGCAAAATGTGTGCATGAAAAACCAAAACAGAAACAAAATAGGCACAGATTTCAGTTCCTAATTTGAACTAAAAGAAAAAAAATTTTTTTTTCTTTCTGTCAAGCTAGAGACTAGATGATAAAAGATCATGGCTCAATACAACAGTTAATAATTAGAAGAAATTAACATGACTCAAGTTAATGTTTGTCAAAAACACTTGAACCAGACCTGGGCTGCCTCTCCACTGTCTTACACAAGTTAATTTCAGAGGGCCTCATCTGCTTGATTTTAAGAACAGGTACAAGATCTCCTTCGCTGAGTTATTAGAACAGAAATACCAACAAGATGGCAGTCGGAAACCCATATTTACCGGTCTTATTGCACATCCCTACACAATTTGGGCAGGATGCAATCTGGTTTGTTCATGTAAATGAAGAAGGGGTGCATAAAGCTCCACACAGGCAAGATCTGGATCCAGAGTTAAGTACTACAGGACTTCTGTGGGGTTGAGGCTGGGTAAGGGGTCTGTACAGGCTTGGGGTCAGCTACACAGGATAGAGAAGGCATTTGCTTTTTCAAGATGCAGAGACCGCTGAGCAACCAGGAAACGTTTGTGAAGAGGAGCCTGGAGTGCTGGGAACTCAGTACTCCCTCAATTTGCATACCAGGTCTCACTATTTTAGAAAAACCCCGATTTCCCACCAGCACCATCAGGTCACACCCTATCAACAGTAATTCCACTTTACACAAACACCTCTAAATATAGGTATGACCTGGTCTCTCTAGCACTATACGGCAACTACGGCTTGGAGACGGGAAATTTTTCGATGTCAAAACCGGTGCATGCGGGACTAGAAAGGTAGGTCTTCAGATGAGACACATTAAGACTAAAAAGGAGGTAAGAAGAGAATCTATCTCAAGACACAACTTCTGTAAAACACTAACATAGGGATTGTTAAAAGAAATGAAGAAACTGGATATGGTGGCAACCTGTAATCCCAGTACTCTCGAAGGCTGAGGCAGGAGACTCTGAGCCCAGTCTGGGCAACTTACTCATTCAACAAGACTTAGAATCAAAACAAAAAATAAAAACTAATCGGAATGTAGCTCACTGTGAAAGGCTGGGTTCAATCCCCATCACCACACACACACACACACACACACACACAAATCAAAAATTTCACCAAGAATTAAAAAAAAAAAAATCACTGGCGGTTAACACGCAAAAACACTCGCACGTTTCCTCTCTCCACCTCCACAGGGTCCGACGCTGGAACTGGAGATCAGAGAGGGCGCGTAAGAGAGGGGGGGACCGGACAACCGCGCGGGCTCGGGGACAGGAACCGCGGGGAGGAGAGAGGAAGCAGGAAGGCCGAGCATTCCGTGACGGAGCCACGGAGCCAGCGCGGCGGCCACATCACCTCATCGCCGCTACACGGCTCTACGACACAGGCCGTCGCGGTCCCCAGCGGGCAGAGAAGGCGGACGCCCAGGGGAGGGCGGCCTTCCCCGGCCGGAGCGAGCGCGCGAGGGAGGCTGCGGGGCGCCACGCCGCCCGGTCCCCGCCCTCCGCGTCACGGCCCCCGCGCCCTCCGGGGCTGGCGTGCGAAATCTCCTTCCGGGCAGGGCCACCCCTCCCCAGGCCCCGCTTCGCCCTCGGTCCCGCGGTCCCGGGACCCCTCGGCCCGCGCTCCGCAGCGCCCCCTCCCCGCCGGCCGGAGAGAGAGGCCGGTGCCGCAGAGCTGCGCCGCCAAGCTCCGGCGAGGGCCGGCGCGGGGGAGCGGCTCGGGAAGGGTCCCCGGGGGTGGTCAGACGCCACTCACGCGTCGAATTTGTTGTTCATCCTCTCACCGCCACTGTCGCCACTGCCTCACGGAGTGACTTCCGCTCTGCCGGGTCCGTCGACCAAGGTCCCGAACACTTCCGGTTGCGCGGGGCGCAGCGGAACCTCAACGCTCAGTCCCGGTGTGGGGCGGTTTCCCTGCAGGACGGACCGCGGCGACTGCTCAAAGACGCAGGAGCCCCAAAGGGGCTGTAAAGCGTGTGGACAGCTCTGGCTGTTCCTCCGCGCCTGGGAGGACTCCGCCTCCGCTGCATGCGCGCTTGCGCGTCCCGCGTCGCTAGGAACCTGGGAGGCGAGGCCCGCTCTGGCACTGTCGCTCCTCCACGGTCCCCACCTCTCTTCTAGGCTGCTGGCGGATCCCAAGGACACTGTCAGGCGCAATTAACAGTAACCTTCAACAAATGGTAGCTGGTGTTCATCTTCGAGTGCTTACTGTGCGCCAAGAGCTTACCGTCCGCCCTCTGAGGCTTTCCAAGGGGTTGACGAAGTCCCGCCAAGGTGACAAAACCAGTAAGGGATTGATAGGAACCGGAGATGACCCCACTGCCATCACGTTGCCCCCTGGATAGAAGGTCGCCACCCCCACCCAGTTCCCAGGGCCCTGTGGCCTCGATGGCTGCAGAGGAACAAGCAGGAGAAAATGCAAGGAATCTGCTGGCGATTGAGGGCAGAGCCAACAGCCCTGTGCTTGGAGGAAGGACACGTTTCCCCACTCCCCACTTCCCAGCGTGTGCCGTGATCCCTGCTTCATGTGGTACCTGTGTGCAGTAGTTTTGAATTGCATTTACCTCCACTTCTGGCCCTGCGGTGAGGGTGGGTGGAACTGAGTATCATGTCTGGGAAATGGGCTCAAGGAGCATAAGTGACTGGCGCGCTGTTTGTACCCTGGTCACCAACAAATCCTGGGCGCCCGATACTCAGAGCAGGACCACGTTACACCAGAGCAGCAAGCAGCTCAGCTGCTCATGCATTTATTTGTGTTGTGTTGTTTTGTTTTGTTTCTTTTTGAGACAGGGTCTTGCCATGCAGTTCAGGCTGGCCTTGAACTCACTTTGTAGCCCAGGCTGGGCGAGAATTCGCAGCGATCCTCTTACCTCAGCCTCCCCAGTGCTGGGATTTACAGGCGTGCGCCACCATGCCTGGCTGTATTTATTTGTTGAATGGGGCCAAGTGAAGCAAAGCAAGTCCCCTCGGGAAGGCAGAGCCCAATGTTTTGTGCCTGCAGGCTTCCCTGATTACCCCTCTTTGTTTTAACCATCCTTTGCGACCAGTGCAGATACCCTGGCTTTCGAGAAGACAGGGAAGAAGAGCCCATTTTTCAGAATCTTTGTTAAGAGCGGCTGGCATTGGGTCAGAGTCAGGAATTCTGACTCCACATCTCGTGGAGCCACCAGGGCCCTGGGAAGTCCCTGTACTCCAGGCTTTAATTTGCCCTTGTGAAACGAGGGAGTCATGCCCCCAGCCTGTGATGCTGTGAGGAACCTTAGCAATGAAGAAAAGATGATAAAGCTCAAGAATATCTTTTGTGATTGAGGCCAAGGAGAAGCATACAAATGGAAAGGTATGGCTGCCAGCAAGCACAGGGCACATTCAACACCTGGCAGGCAGGAGAGGGACTTGCCAGCCCCTACCCCGTGAGAGGACTCCACACACCTCTCCCCACTGCCTCCAGCAGAGAGGACTCATAAAAGGGAAGTTGGTTCCAGGCCTGGATTTGCCCAGCTAGGAGAATCATGCAAAACAGATGCTCAAAATGACAGGAATCCAGAATGCTTTCCTGGAATGTTGGGAGTGCACTCAGTGGGGGAGGGGCCAGTGCCACGAGGAGCAGGCTAATGCCAGGTGGATGCCAGTCCCAACCACGCCCCTTGACCTCAGCCCATCCCCAGCCAATCTGGGATTCCGGTGCTATCTTTATTTCTCCAGCTTTTCTTGGGGCCCTTTGGCTCCCACGGCCTTGAGGGGAACTTCCCAAAGAACACTCTCATGACCTCAGTGGCAGAAGAGCACAGCGGGCAGGACAGCATGACCCACGAGTGCGACTCCCCTGTGCCCAGCAGCGACTGGCCGGCTCAGTCTGGGGAGGGCAGGTAGGAGCGGGGGTCTCCAGGGAACGGCAGGGCGGGCACCCGGTTGTAGTGGGCCATGAGGAAGATGCCGGTGGTGCCGCAGATGAAGAGCGAGAGCATAGCCAGGAAGCAGACGCGGTCTAGCACACGGCCCACCAGCAGCCACTCCTCGTTCCCCTGGAGGTTGGGAGCGGTGGGGTGGGATAAGCAGGGGCAGAACCAGCCCCTGCCCTGCCTCCCGCTTCCATCCTTAAGCTTCCACCCTCCATTTCTTTGGACCCTTCTCACCCCATCCGGGTCCCTCCTCCCTGTTCCCAGCCCTGCCTTTTCCATCAGTGCTCTGTCTTGGACTACACACTCCTCCCGCCGCCATCTTGTGAGATGGATGGCCAGGCTCCCACCCGACCCACAGTGAGCTGCCCCTTACACTGTCAAAGTGACTCTGCCGAAGCCGGGCTTGGGCAATGAAGTTGCAGGCATCCACACAGGCCTGGATGGCAGGGGCGGCCTGCTTTAGGCTGCCATAGAACTCCGGGCCTTTCTCTGATGAGGATAGAGGGTAAGGTTTGAGAATAAAATGGAGAAGAGAAAAAAAATAAAATACAATGGAGGAGAAACAGGCAGAGAAGGTGGCTTCTCCTTAGAACCCCCCAGTCCCTTTCTTCCCAACTTGGACACTTGCTCACCGTCTGGGGTCCCTGGGCAGGAGTGGCAGTACCTCCGGGCCTTACCCAGTTTCTCCAGTGCCCCCCTCAGCAGCCCATTGCGCTGCCGCTGCCGGAAGAGGAGTTCGCTGCGGGGCAGGCACAGGGCCACCTCCGCCCCAGCTGTCATGGGCCACCCTGAGGAGGAGCCGTTCTGGAGCCGGGGCCGGGTGTCCTGCACAGCTGCTGGGGGCAGCAAGCGAACGTGCATCCGCAGCAGCTGGGGCAGGAGCCGCAGGAACACCTGCGGACAGAGCGAGCCACCTGCTGGAGCTCATGCTGCCAAGCCTGGAGCCAGCACTCCAGAGGCATGCTGGGGTCCTGCGCTGCTTGGCTGTTCTGTCCTGGACACAGAGCCTGGGACCCCACACTTTCGTGCATGTCAGAACCACCAGGGCCCGTGTGCCTTCCCCTTGCTGCCGTTCTGGTGTAGGATGCCTGGTGGTCAGGAGATCTGCATGTGTAACGAGGGTCCCAGCAGCCTGCTGCAAGTAGGCTGAGACCACAGGGGGCTTGGGTCAACTGCCAGGCAGAATCCTGCCTGCTCCACTTTATGGCTTCGTGACCCTGGGCAAACTATTTAACTGCTCTTTGCCTCAGTTTCCTCATTTGTTAGATGGAGGTAATGCTAATACCTACTTCACAGGGGTTTTATAAAGATTAAGTAGGTTGATATATGCAGTCTCCCCGGCACCTCCTTATGGCTTATGGGATGGTTTGCTGCTCACTGGGCAGGGGAGGGTACAGCCAGGGGTGGGCACAGAGGGAGGCACGGCAGAATGGGTGAGGAGGGGCCTTGCCTTGCGGACGCCTCGGGCCATGGAGTGTGTGTGCGGGGACCTCAAGGACACGTTGAGCACCACCACAGCATTCACGACAATGAGGATGGTCACCACCATGAGGAAGGTCAGGTACCTGTCGAGGGGGTGGGCAGGGGCTGGGCGGCCCTTACGCACTCCATACCCGGATGCTACCCCGCCCCTTGGAGCCACTGGTGGAGGCCCGGCCTTACTTGCTGATGAGTGGCACTGCCTGGGATGTCTCGGGCACCTTCTTGGCCACAAGGAAGAGGAAGACGGTCTGGGCCAGGAGCACGTTGATGGCCACAGTGCACTTCTGACCGCCCGCTGCTCATGACCAAGGGGTACTCAGAGCAGGTCTCCTCCACTCCCTCCCTTCCCTCCCCAAAAGAGCCGTGGGTCATGGTACTGCGTGTGCCTTGGCCAAGCCCTGCCCTGGCCTCCCAGCATGCCCTGTGTGGCTGGACAGGGACGTGGCTCCAGGTACCCTTGGCGGGGAGGAAGTAGATGAGGATGGCGACAGAGGAGATGAGCACACAGGGGGCGATGATGTTGATGACATAGAAGAGGGGCTTGCGCTGGATGAGCAGGTAGAACACCACCTTCTGGTGGCCCGCGTCCTCCGCGTCCAGCATCATCTTGGCTGGCCGGTGCCGGATGGCCCACTCCCCGTTCTCTGCAGGGGGCCAGGGGGGTGTGGGCAGGGCGGACCCGCAGCCTGGGGGACCCAGCCTCTGGCAGCATGTGGCCCAGGAAGTGCCAGTGGACACAGGACCATCGAGGGACACAGGTGGGGTGCAAGATGGGATATTGATCCCCCAATTTCCAGAGTGAGAGTAGGTCACAGAAAATTATCTTTACAAGAACATACTCTGCTTTGCTGTCACTTTGACCTTGAGTTACAGAAGAGACAGGGCCTTGGTGGGGCCTTGTCACTGTAGCCACATGTAGCAGAGATCAGGGGGAGCTGTCTGGGAGCCCTGGGCGGGGTTACCGGTGAAGGCCTCAGGGTCGATGAAGATCCACTCTATGGCCTGGCCATCTTCCCGACTCAGCTGCAGGTTGATCTCACTGGTGCTGTAGGTCTGGGACCTGGGGCCACAGAGGAACAGGGGTAAACCCCAGCGTGGAGAGGCACGCCTGACGTCACTGACTGTCACCTCGGGGCATGTGTGGGTGTCTGGCTTTAAAACTGCAACCCCACAAGTCCCTGTGTTCTCCCCTGAGTCCTGGGGTGGGGGGGCGGGGGATGTGGGCTTTTTGGGGACCAGGATGTCGAGTGCAGGGGTCTGCAGATGCAGGTCAGTACTATCACCTGGCCCAAGAGCCTGGGCCACACTGTCCCTCTCCCTGCCACCAGCTACAATGTAGAAATGCATGCCTGCTCATCATGCCTAAGGTTTCCTTGAGAAAAGGCTCACTCCTGTAGAACACGCCTGGCGCCCGCCTGCCATGCCTGCACTCCAGAGGCCGAGGGAGGGAACCAGAAGTCCCGCCCCCCGCCCCCGCAGCTTAGTGACTTCGTGGGAGGTGGAGCCAGGCCCTGGCCTCTGGGTGCTGCCAGAACACCCTACCATTGCCCAGGCCCCTCTCAGCGCTCCCCAAACCCCCCCTCCCCACATAAACGGCCTCACTGGAAGACGAGGGAGCAGTTCTGCCAGTCGAAGGGAAAGTAGGTGACGGAAACAGCACAGGATGAGCGGAAGATGGCAGGCGGCAGCCAGTAGATGCAGCCGTTAGGGGACACCAGCACGTTGCAGTAGAGGGCCACCTCGAAGACACCGTCCACGCTGTGCGCAGGTTGGGCCATGGGACTGTGGGCTTGGACCCCACGGTGCCGCCCAGCCCTCTGTCCCGTGTGGGTGGGGACCCGGAGACCCCCCCCCACCTGCCTGACCCTGACCAGTGCCCACCTAGAACCACGGCTGCCCCGTAAGCTCCCTGCCACCCCCACCTGCTCGGGCCACCTGACAGCATTTCTGGGAATGGTCACTGGCCCCAGGCCACAGGGGGGGGACGGGGCCAGGTCTGCTGGTCCTGCCCCTGCCCTGTACTGCGCCCTGCGCCCTGCGCCCTGTCCATTCTCCAGAGCCTCCTTGCCCCACAGGACCCTGATCCTGTCCCCCGGGCCCTACCCTGCCACCCCTCCTCACTTGTTCTCCAGGACGATGTCTGGCCGCCACACCATGGTGGACGGCACCCTCAGCACCCACAGGCCTCCATAGTCCTCGGGGTCCCAGCGCAGGCGGTAGTCGCACCACTGCTGTGGGAGTGGGCAGGGGGCGTTGCCAGGCCTCTGCTCCTGGCAGCGCGGAGCCCCGGGAATGAGAGTCCAGCCCAAAGGGGGCTCCAGGCGCGGATCCCGGCACACGGGAGGGGCAGGGTGGCCTCTTACCATCTCTATCCAGACGTTGGTGGTGAGGGCCTCCTCTCGCTCGTTCTGCGGGTGCAGAACAGAGGACTAAGTCCCCATGCCTTGCCCTCCCCGAGGCTCTCCCTGCTTCCCACCACTCACCAGGGAGATGAGGTTGGTCAGGGTGAGCTTCAGGCTGACGTTGACCACGTCCTTGTCGTGCTCTGAAGGCCGCAGGTGAGGGTCATAACCGTGCATCAGGTCGGCCAGCAGGCGCCCTTCCTGGTTGCGGCCCTGGGCCCCTGCAACAATGGCCAGAGCCTCAGCCTCACTGTGGGGCCTTGAGGTAATGCAGTAGGAAGGCTCAGACCGGGGAGGTGGAGATATAGGGGGCCGCGGCTAGGGCATGTCTGCCAAGGCCTCAGACCCCTGCCCTGGGCCCCCCAGACCCCGGGTCCCCTGGGCCGCACCCAGGCAGGCAGCCAGCAGCGGCAGGAGGAGCAGCGGCCCTTGGCCCTGATGCATGGTGCCTCTGCTCTCTCTGGTCCCCACGTTCTGAGCAGAGAGAGGAGCTGGGTGTCCTGTGACAGGCTATACTCCCGTCCCGTCAGCCCTGCCAGCCCTGCTAGCCTGGCCCCACCAGCTGTCTGACCACAGCATTGTCAGCTGCTGAGGGCGCTACAATGCCTGGCTCGGGTTACCTGGCCAGGGTGCGAGAGGGGCCCGTGGGTCCCAGCGGAGACAGCCACCCCTCCCCACCCTTGAGCCCAGCTGCCCAGGCCGTGCCTGGTGTCCAGTGAGGACGCCCAGGACACAGCCAGGGATGGCCGCCGCCTGGCTGGGAGTCAGCGCTGGGGGGTACGGGCAGTTGGATGGGCCTCACTTGTGTCTCCATGATGCCACTGCCACCTGCCTGCCGTCTTCATGGGCCACTGGAAAGATGCATGCGGCCCAGACACCTCAACACCACAGGCTTGGGACCGGGTCTGGTCCTCCCAGGCCCTGAGGCGGGACACAGGTCCGAAGCTTTGAAATTAGGGGCTGAGAGGACTCGGCGAGGACAGCCAGCCCCTAGTGAGGGCGCCTCTGTGCGGGCGCGGTGTTTATGACATGGTCCCGCATTGCGCAGCAGGCCCAGTGGGAGGCTGCAGAGGCCCAGGGCCGCCCCAGCTGCTCATGGAGCTCATGCTTCATGGGGGCAGGTGGACGGGGGACCAGGGCTCAGGTCGTGTCCCCCAGAGGGAATGAGGAGACCCAGAGACCAGTGACGGGCTGGACTTGAGTCCCATCTGCTCGGGTTTGTGGCTGGGAAAGGGTGGGGCCTAGGCTGGGGCTGACTCCTTGCAGCAGCCACTTGCCTGTGACATCTGTTCCAGGCACTCAGGTCAGCACGTCCCAGTCTGTGGGCGGGAAGGAGCAGGCGGGAACCCAGACACCATTTCCAGCTGCTCCAGTGTTCTGGGGGACAGGGTGGTGGCAGCAAGGCACCCCCCATCACATCCGCCAGCCGTAAGTCAGGCCCTCCCTGGAGGCACAAGGGAGGTGTCTCCGAACCCAGCCCAGGTTCCAGGCCCTTGAGTCTGGCCAGGATGGGGGTGGGGAGCGGGAGGGACGGCACCTGTCATCTCTGATCAGCTGTCATTTCGGGTGTCTTGCGTGCGGTCTCTGCAGTCAGACCTGTTCCAGGCCCCCGTCCCTGTGACAGTCCCCCACCCTTCAGAGCTCTTGTGCCCACATGGCCCTCGCCTGCCCCCAGACCAGCTCTCTCGCCTCACCTTTCTCTACGGAGCAAATTCTCCACCTACTCCTCCCAAGCCTGCTTTTGCCAAAACTCATCCCCCACCTGGGCACCAGGCCAGATGATCTCACACCTCTGCCTTCCCTGTTGGTCCCTGTGAGTGCCCACGAGGGCAGAGGCAGAGGATGCGGGCCGCCTTCCCCTCTGGTCCGATCATGGCGCCTCCCTATGTTGAGGGTTCCGAGGGCTGAGGACAGGTGTCACCCATGAGGATGGGGGCTCCTGGGGGGTCAGGGTGGTGGGGGAGGACCTAGGAAGGGACAGTCATTTGTGGCCATCACTCACTCTCTGACAGCCCCCTCTCCTGGGCCAGCTGCTAGTACAGAATCTGGAAAAGCTGATCAAGTCGGTCCTCTGTCCACAGGGGTGATTCCAGGGCCCCCTCAAATACCAAAGTCTACCAATGCTTAAGTCCCCTATATAAAGTGATGTAGTGAACTGGGCGTGGTGGCACGTGCCTGGGATGCCAGCACTTGGGAGGCTGAGGCAAGAGAATTGCCAGGAGTTTGAGGCCAAGGCCACCTGGGTTACGTAGTAAGTTCAAGGCCAGCCTAAACTGCATAGTGAGACCCTATCTCAAGACGTGACACAATCCAACACAAGGAAGTGCTGTTGTACTGTTTTTGCACACATCCTGTGTAACCCTCCCCTGACCTCTTGGTTACTTAGGATGCCTAACAGTGCAAGTGCTGCACAAATATTTGTTACACTATATTATTTAGGAGATAGTGACAAGAAAAAAGGTGTGTACATGAACAGTACACATTTTTCTTCCAGATATTTTCTTCAATCCACGGCTGACTGACTCCACAGAGGCTGAGCCGTGGATTTGCAGGGCTCACCGTACTTATTTCCCACGCTTCCCTGCAGAGAGAGGCAGCCCTGTGATGTTTTGACGATGATTTGCTGTGGCACTTCGTAGGAAAGCTTTGCTGCTGATAAAAGGGGTAAGAAATGCCTGGCCCCTTTTTTGCCTGAACATAGATACAAAGGGTGGCACTGTGGCAGCCAACTTGCAACCTGAGGCAACAAAGCAAGGGGAAGCAGGCCCATGTGTTGCGAAGGCAGCCAACAGCCTGGGCCCCTCGAGGCTGTGATGTACAGCTGAGAAAACGCAGCCCTCACCGCTCTCAGTTCTGACCGTGTGAGAAGAAAGGAAACCTTAGTTTCGGCTGTGACTATGGCTCATTGTGGCTTCTGTTCGTTGAGCCCAGGGCGTTCTTAACGGATTCGTTGCCCGTTGAGGGAGGTTGGCGGCCGGGCTGGCCTGGAGGGACTGACTGTAGGACCCTGCTTTGGGCCCCCGCAGGGGGCTTTCCTTGGGAGTGTGATTCCTGAGCAGAAAAGGGCCAGGAGGTCCGAGGCCACCGAAGTGGACCCGCCGCCATAGCGCCACCGTGTGGCAGAGCAGCCGTGCACGTGGGGGGCGGTCCTGATTCCGGGTTCTCCAGAGACTGCAGGGCGGGGCCTGAAAATGAAAAAGGCCTCCTGCTCCCCGTCAGAGCGAATGAGGTCGCCCGGTCCCTCTGAGGAAAACGGCCGGAGCCGTGGAGACAGTGAGCATGCGCGCCACCATGCCTGGCTCCAAATTCGGTTTCCACAACACCCCGAGCGGGATGTACCCCCCCACACCTCCTAGATGCGAAAACAAGAGCCCAGAGACGGCTGTGGCTCACCTAAGGCCCCACTGCTAATGTCACAAATCACCCAAACCCTGTCACTAAAACAAAGCATTTATTTTCTCTCGCAGTTTCTGAGGGTCTGGAATCCAGGAGCAGCCTCCATGGTCGGCTCTAGTTTAGGGACTTGTGGGGGCTGTGACCCCATGTGGGGGCCCTTTGGGGAGGGGTCGCCTCCACATTCACACGTGTGGCTGCCAGCCACGCACCCCAGCTTCCCCAAGCGTTACATCCAATCACGTGAGGGAGAATGAGTGAGACAAGCGCCATGGGGATCTTTTGTTTGTTTTGAGACAGGGTCTCTATGTAGCTCAGGCTGGCCTTGAACTCACAGTGATCCCCCTGCCTCAGCCTCCCAGGTGCTGGGATGACAGGCGTGCATCACTCAGCTCAGGGATGGGCGCCGCCTCTGCAAAGAGCCACTCTTCCAGGTGCACCCTTGCTGTGGCTAGATGAAGCGCCGGTCCCGCTCATCATAGGAGAAGGGGTCCCCAGGGAAAGGCTGCGGTGGGGGCTGGTTGTAGGCGCCCTGAAGAAAGATCCAGGCCGTGCCCACCACCATGACGGGCGTCACCACGAACAGGCAGAGGCGGTCCACCGTGCGGGCCACCTGATTCCAGCTGTCCTTCTCCTGGAGGGAATGACAAGGGGCCTCTGTGCAGGCCAGCACCGCATCTCAGGCCCAGCTGAGCAGCGGGGGCCTGGCCTCCCCGTGTCCATGGGAGCCACCACCGCCTTGGCCGGCAGCAGACAGGGACAGGGCCTGCTGGCCTTGTCCCCAGCAAGATCCAGGACCTGTGGCCAGCAGCGGGGCAGGTCATCGCGTCTGCCGAGGAGGAGGCTGCGGGCCACAGGGGACCCTGACCTCAGCCCTGCCCTGGCTCAGCCCTCCCCACCCCTCCAGGTGCCACCCGTAGGGGGCCTTTGCTCAGGAGACAATTCAGTGTAATTGTGTGCAGCCACCATGGTCTCCTTTTCAACTCCTGCTCTGTCTGGACATGGAGCTGGGCAGGGACAGAAATGACTGGCAGCTAGGACAAGAAGGGATGACAAGAGGGTGGGGCCAGGAGTCTCTGTGTGTCACTGTGTGCCTGGCCCTGAGAGAACACACGCCTGGAAATCTGCATGGGCCGTGAGCTCCCCATGTAAGCTGGCAGGTGTATGTAAGTGGACTCGTAAGATTGGTAACACTTGCTCAGTACACAGCTTGAACACCTGCACATGGCAACCCCGTGGCCACTCACATCATTGTAATTGTTCTGGTCCTTCATGTGGTTGACGATGAAGTTGGCCCCATCCACAGCTGGCTTAAGCTCGTTGAAGAGTTCCTGCTGGGCCTGCTCAGAACTTGCCGGGAGCTGGCCTGGGGACACGGGCCAGAGTGGGGCATGAGGCCACCCCCTGCCCACTTCCAACCGGTGGGCCATACCTCGAGGCCACCAGGGACCTACGTGCCGTGGTGAGGCGCCGGGCCAGCCCGTGCCGCTCTGACTGCTTCTCAAACATGAGGTCGCTGCGGGACTTGAGTGAGAAATACTCCTCTGCCTTGGAGATGTAGCCCAGGGAGCTGCTTCTCCGGACCAAGGCCCCGGGGCTGGGTCCCTCCTCTGCGGGCCGGGACATGTGCAGGAGCTCCGGCAGGGTCTCCAGGAAGATCTTCAGCAGCCCCGGGGATATGAGAAAGGCCGTTTTACAACTGTGGGGTGGCCTTTACACACCCTCGTGTCTAGGACTCCGCTCCTTTGTCAACCATTCCCATCTGACCCTGCCACCCCCTCCCCAAGCCCCGCCAGTGGACACTTAGGCCGCTTCCGACCCTTCCTCGTCCCTCACTGCACCAAGCAGAGGTTGGTCACTGAAAATAAAGATCAAAGACCAAAGGCAGTACCGATGCCCAAACCCTGAGCTCTCTCCTCCAGGTGCTTGAAGACCAGAGAGCTGCAAAACTACCCCTGCTGTTCCAGAACAGCCGCTGGCCCTGTGATGGCCAGGAGGCCAGAGCATCCTGTCCCAAGCACCCTGGCCACCTTCTCAGCTCTTCCTTTTTTTGTGTTTATTTTTGGTGTTGGGGCTGGAACCCAGGGCCTCGCTCATGCTAGGGAAGCGCTCCGCCACGGCCAGTCCTCTCTTCTTTCAACTGCAATGTCCTGAACTCACAGCAGAATGAGCATCCTCAGAACTTCTTTTGCTCTTTTGTTTTGAGACAGGATTTTGCTACATGGCTAAGTTGTCCCAACTGAATCCGCACTTTCAGTCCTCCCACCTCCGCCTCCCAGAGTGCAGGGAGTAGTGCAGAGCGCCTGGCTTCGTGCTCACCTTCTTGACGCCCTCGGACAGCACGTGGGTGCTGGGTGTCCGGAAGTGGATGTTGAGCACGATGACGCAGATCACCACGACCATGGCCACCAGCACCATGCCGAAGAGCAGGAACCTGCGGGCAACACTCAGCCTGGAGCCCGGGGGTGCTGGGCGTGGGGGCAGCGCTGCGCAGGTGGCACTTACTTGCCGATGAGCGGGATGGCTATGGAGGTGGCGGGCAGCCGCTTGGAGATGAGCAGCAGGAAGACAGACTGGGCCAGCAGCACTGAGATGGCCACCGACGTCTTCTCGCCACCTGAGGAAGCCAGACTTATCTGCATCCTCAGACCTCAGGCCTACAGGGTGCCCTGCACTGGTCCTACCCCCACTCACTGTTCCCAACACCATGGTGTCCTGATAAGCACCCGAGGGCCTGGGTTCAAATCCTGGGTCTGCCACTAACTAGCTGGGTGACCTTGGACAAGGCCTAACCTCTCTGTACCCAACTTTCCAACTGTTCAGTGTAGCGTGAGCGTGCGTGTTAAACACACAGCTCCCTGCCTGACACTGGGTGAGTGCTCACTGTACCCTGACTGTTGCAATGGCCCGCGCTCTGTCACTTCACTGTCCTTCTGAAGCACAGATCTGTACGGGTCACTTCCTGCTGTGTCCTCACAGCATCATGGTAGCACCCAACATGCACCTTGCACGCCCAGACGCCAGCCCAGTGCCTCCCGTACTGCCCATGTGAGCCCCTGTACTGGACTTCCCGCTGCCCTGCCAAGCCCTCCATCCATGGACAAAGCCTCGCCCCTTCAAAAAGCCCTGCTCTGCCCAGTTCCGTGGACCCCAACAGATGGCCCCTCGCAGGGGCCAGGTGGGCTCTGTACCCCTGACATTGTGGACTTGTGCCTCTGGAGTCCAGGCTGACTGTCCCGGGCCCTAGTGCCCAAGAGCCCCCTAGCCATCCACTGGGTTAACCACCGAAGGCGGCCTGGCGCCAGGCCCGTGGCCTTGCAGAGGCGACCATGGCAGGCTCGGCTATGGCCTGGCAGTAGGACAGTGCAGCTGTTCTCCCGGGTCCCCGGGAGGAAGGCCTTCTTGAGCACCCAGAGGGACCCTGCCCTGCCCACGGGGGGTGTCACCGGGCATGGAGCCCCCCGGCCACTGGCCACTGGCCACCAGTGGAAGCGGGGTCAGGGCTGTAGCGCCCTGCTCGTGGGCTCAGGCCGGGCCGCAGGACGAGCAGGACGGGCACCGCTCACTGTCAGCTGGCAGGTAGAAGACCAGGTTGACCATGAAGGAGATGAGCACGCAGGGCACCAGGATGTTGATGATGTAGAAGAGCGGCTTGCGGCGGATGATGAGGTAGAAGGTGACGTCCTGGTGGCCTGTGCTGTCCAGCGGGGCACTGGGGTCCACGTTGATCCTGGCTGGCCGGTGAACGATCTCCCACTCCCCGTTCTCTGCGGGTGGCACAAGGATGGCACGGTGGGGGCTCAGGGGGCTCAGGGGCTGGGGCCAGGGCTGGGGCAGAGCGAGCAGTGTCCTCAGGGCGGGTGCAGAAAGGGCTTCGGGTTTTGTCTGGGGTCGCCTGGGGTTGGGCTGGTGTTTTCAGTCTGTGTGAGGAGGAGGGTTTCTTCTGATTGATTCTCTCTCTCTCTGTCTCTCTCATTTTGGTTTTGTTTTTTTGAGACAAGGTCTCCCTCTATAGTTTAGGCTGGCCTTGAACTCAGGGGATCCTCCAGTCTCAGCTTCCCTAATGCTGGAATTACAGGTGTGCACCGCCACACCTGGCTTTTTTTTTTTTTTTTTTCCCTCTTTGGGAAAAATAGAAGCTGAGACCATGTAGGGTCCAAATAAGGAGGGTGTTTTGGCTTAAAAGATGGCACAAGCCAAAAGTAGATTAGGTGCAGATTAAGGAGCTAGAATTAATAAGAAAATAATTAAAAAGAGAATAATAATTTTAAAAAGGTTCCCAGTTATCAAGCATGTCTTCCTAAGTTTTAAAAAAAGAAAGCTAAGCTGATTCTGAGCTGTCCCTCCTCGGCCTTGGTGTTAGGATAATGGACCTCATGTCCCTGTGATGTCCAAGCACAGAGGCCAGCAGGACACAGGTCTCTTTGGTGGACAGGGTTGGGGAGTGGGCCTGGTCACAGACAGGGTACAGGGGTGCCACATTCATTGGGTGACACAGCCCCTGCCCCAACCACCCTCTCCTCCCCTACCTCCACCCTCTATCTTCCAGCCTGAGCAGGGCGAGGGGCGCTGTTCCCACCCAGGGGGCCTCGGGGCACCTTGGCCTGTGGTGAGTGTCTGGGAGGCGTCACTGGGGTGCATTCGTGTGTGTCCCAGGGGCCCGCCCGCCCCCAGCGGCACCTGTGAAGCCCTCGGGGTCGATGATGACCCACTCCACCGGGTAGGCACGGCCGTCTTCCTCCTCCTGCTTCAGGCTCAGCGTGATCTCCTTGGCTGTGTACTTGAGTGAGCTGGGGACAGCGATGGGCAGAGGTGACCCTTGGCCACCAGCAGGGGACAAGGAGGCCGTGGAAAGAGGGCCGTTCTGAGCAGGACAAGCCGGGGCCTGTGCCGGAGGCAGCTGTGGCAGGGCGCCTGGGGGAGGGCAGCTAGAAGACGGGGTGCACCTGAATTTGAGGGAGCAGTTCTGCCAGTCGAAGGGGAAGTAGGTGACTGAGATGGGGCAGGAGGAGCGGAAGATGGCGGGCGGCAGCCAGTACACATAGCCAGAGTCGTAGACCAGCACGTTGCAGGAGTAGGAAATCCGGAAGGAGCCGTCATTGCTGGGGGACAGGGACAAGGACCGCTGTGAGCCCTGGCTGGCCGGAAACGGAAGCGGGCAGGGATGGGGACGTGCAGGGGAGGGGCGGGCAGGCTCGGCGGCAGGAGAGGCCGGGGGCTCCACTCAACTTGTTCTCCAGCACAATCTCCGGGAGCCACACCATGTCGGCGGGCAGGCGCAGCACGCTGATGTTCCCGAACTTGCTGGCATTCCACTGCAGCCGGCTGTCTGTCCAGCCCTGGCAGCCCCGGAGCACGTGAGCAGTGGGCTCCACTGCTGCCCAGACTCCCCCAGACCCCCACTTCCCAGGGGAAGGCTGAGCAGCGTCTGAGAGCTGTGCTCCAAGAGCTCTGGGGAGGCAGGGAAAGACAGGGGACTCCGATCTGTCACGAACAGCTGTGCAGGCTACACACTGCACCACCAAGGGGGCATCACTGCCATGTGGAGAGAAGATTTGTTCTGTTTTATGAACTTCTGACAGTTCTGACGCTTTTATTAGAAGAGTGTCTTCTGACTAAAATCAGGATAAAGTGACAATTTTCCCTCAGATCAGCCCTAATCCTCTTAAGGCACCTAGCAGAAGACTAGGTGGGAAAAAGGGCGGCTGGGCCTAGGGGCCTTTGAGGGGAGGAGCCACACCTCCTGCAGGGCAGCATCAAGGGGGGCTGGGGTTCCCCAAGAGGACAGGAGCACAGGGCAGCCTGGGCCTGCACCCACCGCCCCCACCTGGGGTCCTTACGTGCTCTATCCAGACGTTGGTGGTGAGTGTCTCCTCGACTTCTTTCTGCAAGCGGACAGCAGGGCTGGCCCTGGAAGGCCCCCATTCTTTCCCCCACCCACCGGGCACCTCATCTGGCTGGCACCAGAGGGGCCCATGGTAGCCAGGCACCGACCATCGGGGTGGGTAGGCAGACCAGGAAGGACAGACAGCCACTGAGGTGTGGCACGGTGTGGGGGTGTCGGGGCACACCCCACACCTGAAGCTGGAGGAGAAGGGGCACATGCCTGGGGTGCAGGAGGCCCGTGGGTACCAAGGGGCTTGTAGAGGTGCCAAGCAGGTTTCCCAGGAAGGAGGCTACCAGGGGCACCTGGTCCCGGAGAAGCCATCCCTTGTCTTGCCCAGCCCAGCCCGGCAGGGGTGGCTCACCAGGGAGATGAGGTTGGAGAGGGTGAGGGCCAGCGTGATGTCCACACTGTCCTCCTTGCGGGCAACGGGCCGCAGCTCCTTGTTGTAGCCTCTCTCCTTGAACAGGTGCCGGATCAGCTGCTCCTCCTGGTTTAGGGCCCAGCCGTCTACGGTGGGATGGAGTGGTTCTGGGCGGGGGGACCCAGCGAGGAGCGGCCCTGAGCCCGAGGGGCAGGCAGAGGTGCCTGAGGGGGAGTGGGGAGTTGGGTATGACCCCAGAGAGGAGGCCACGTGGTGGGGGACTTGGGGGCGCACGAGAGACCTCCAAGTGGGGGTGATGTCCGCCCTTACCGCTCACGACCAGGGCAGCCAGCAGCCCCAGTGTCAGTGCAGGGCCCTCCATCCTGCCAGAGGACTGAGGACCAGGTCCTACGTCTGCCCCTCCCATCTGCAGGCTGGGGACCAAGGGTGGGCGGGAGAGGGGACAGGTGCAGGGTGGGGGTGGAGTGGCCAAGGGGAGAAGAGCCGGAAATGCAATCTGACACTTCAGGCAGGTGATGAGGGGGTGGGGGCCGCCAGCCTGGCCGGCGCCCACGACTGGACCGGAGATCCTGGGCAGGACTCAGCAGCTAGCGGGGCGGGAGGGATGCTGGTCAGCCAGGATAGGGCAGTGACAGACAGGCCAGCTGCTGCCCCCTCTCAGGAGGCAGCGGATATGCTCAGATGGGGACCGCCCCACCCTGAGGCCTCAGTGACCTTTGCCAACTGCTTCTGGAGACTGCCCCAGCCATCAGATGTTCACCCACCCCGTTCTGCATTCCAAAGAAGCGCCAGTGTCTCCGTGGCTTATAAATAATTTTATTAAAGCAGCTATGAGTCTCTGATCACACATCTGGGAAGACACAGGACCCCTCCTGCCCACAGGTGCGGTCCATGGGGACAGTGACATTTGTCAGATGCTCCCGGCTCTCCTAGCTCCTGGGAGCAGTGGGTGCCCTCTGTGGCAGCTGGCCGGGGGCAACCCCCTTCCTCCCCACTTCCAGCCCCAGAGGTTTGCCCTCAGCCAGGGCAGCTGAGCGGAAGGCCTGCAGGGCCTGCACCAGCAGCCTTGGCAGGCTTCGAGCCAGTGTGGCCGGCTCCAGGCCCACCAGGCCACTGAAGGCCACGCGGCGGCCCCCCAGGCCTGCCTGCACCCACGCTCTGAAAAGCCCTGTCAGTGTCTTGGAGCTCAAGTCAGCCAGCACCTGCAGAGAGAGGGGTGTCAGGGGCTCAAACCCACTCCCCAGTGGGAATCCTGGGGTGGCCCTCTTTCCTCCCTGACCCCAGAAACTCATCTAGCCCTGCCCCTCCCACCACAACCTTCCTAATTTGGACACCCCAGAGCCCCTTCCTTTTAAACATTTTAATTTTGATTAGTAGTACACGTTTGCATCCTCTCCCCTCTCCCTCCACTCCTCTCCCTTCCATTTTGCAGAAGCTCTAGCTCCGTTTCATATTATCTATCTTTTATTTTGCTCTTTATTTACTTATACTGTATTTCAGGCTTCTCACATAGGGGAAACCCTGTGTCGTTTACGCTCGCGTGTCTGATTTATTTTACTGAACACTATGGTCGCCAGGGCATTCATTTTCCTCTGCCTGCCTCCCTTCTACCCCTGCGAGTGCCCAGTCTCACCCACAGAAGCCCCCTACCCGCTACTCCCTTTTCCTTGGATCCCTGCCCCTACCCAGCCTGGGGGCTGGTGCTCCTGCTCGCGGGTCCTCTGCCCGTTCTCTGTCTGGGGATCCCCCCGACCCCCGGCTTCCCAGGCCGCTGGAGGAGTCCGGGACGCCGAGGACCCACCTCCTGGAAGTGCATGGCCAGCCGCTCGGAAGGGACCTGCAGGATCCAGGCATGGGAACCCTGAAGGGCGGCCAACTTCTGTCGCAGGGGCTCCAGCCCAGGGCAGCCTTCAGGAAGGGGAGAGGCCCCCGAATCACAGAGGGCTGCGGTCGGGTCTCCCACCGGAACCCCGTGACAACCTCCCAGGGCAGACAGCCTGTGCGTGCTACACATGGCGAAACTGAGGCTCTGACAGGCTAACTGATAACACTAGGCAGAGTACTTCCATTTGACACTGAGCGGCACCCAAAGACCCAAGTCCCCGCTCCAGGGTTCACCACTGTACCAGGAGGAGGGCGAGAGCGGGTCTGGCCTGTTGCCCCGTGGGGTAGCCTCTTCCTAGCACAAACCCCCGCCCCAGCCGGTCCCGGCCCCGGCGGCCTCTGGGCCACTCCTCTCCTATGGCCGGCAGGGGGCGTCGTTACCGCTCGTGCTCTCGCGGGGCTCTGGCCTTCGCTTCTGGAACCGCACCCTCGCAGCCCGCGGTCCTGCGAAGACGCAGGGTTTGGGGCAGCCTGGCGCGGGGCCGGACCCGGGCTGGGCGCGGCAGGGGACGCGGGGGTACCTGAGTCCAGCCGCTGCTCGCGGGCTGCCGACTCCGGGGACTCCCACAGCGACGGAGCGGGGCGGGCCAGGGCTGGGG